AACAGCAGCCCCTCCCCACTGCACGTCCCCAAACTGCCCTGCACTTGTGACGTGAGCTTGTGTGTTGCAACAGTGGGGCAGAGTGGGGACTTGAGCTACATTCAGAGACAGGACAGAGGACAGAGGACAGAGGACAGAGGACAGGGAGGTTAAACGGATGCGTCTTTTATGTAAACTGTTTATATCTGACAGATACGAGCAGGAACTCACTGACCTTTAACCAAAAAGGCAAAAAAAAAAGGAGGGAAAATAAATTCTGCAGAGTCAAATCCAAAACGAAAGTATTCCAAACCAGTAGAGCACGGATTCCAACAATCCTTAATTTACTGCAAAAAAATATCTTCCCAGAGTCCATTAGTGACAGAGAATAACTATTAAATACTCTTCCACCAGGTGGCAGTGAATGCTATATAAAAAAAAGAAGGACTAAGAAGATCTTCCTGTGTGTCTTTCTACAATTCCTGTGAGTACATCAGCGTTGTGTTCCACCAAACAGGCCCAGGTTCGACACTGGGTAAGTGGAGTGTGAGTGAATTGAAATTAATATTTTAAAGGTCACAAACCTTGGAAACATGATGCGAGACAACCAAAAAAAAAACCCTCTTGCGACCCACCTGAGGGTCGCGACCCAGTCTTTGGGAAACAATGCGGAAGATCACTGTAACAGCTAGCTGTCAGCTAGTCTAAATCAGTAACAATTATAATTCATGAAAAAAAAAAAGCCCCATGCGGCAACTTTTAATCAGTTAAATCTATGGTTTTGAGATGTGGTTTTCTTAAGCCACTCCACCAGAGCCATGTGAGGGTTGTTTTTTTTTTTATCCAAATTTTCATCACATGTTCTCCACGGTGGTATTAGTACCAAACCTCAGGAGTCAAACAGACTAATGTGGCCTTTAGCACCAATCATGGTAGGCGTGGACGTAAGAACCACTGACCTCTCACCCCTGCATGAAGGCGCCGTGTGTGTCTTCCTGCAGCTCTGCAGAAGAGGAGTTCACGTTTGCACCATCTTCACATGTTGACCCTGAAATCAGACGGAATCACAGACAGAATTATTCCAGTAAAAGAGAACAAGAACTTTTTATTTTTTTGTAAGATTTACGAAAATTGTTACAGATTCAAGCCCTTGTGCAAACAGTCCTGATCTTCTTACACACACACACACACACACACAGCTTGACAACTCGCAGAGAAAATTAAATATTGTCCAACGATAACAGTGGACAGCCGCGGCCCTCCTGTGTCACAGTGGGAAACAGAACGGAGAGATTATGCAAACACACTGACAACCAAATGGTTGTCGTCCTTTGTCCTTTCGCCTCCAACAAAACAAGAACAGAAACAGTCACCTCTCTACAAATAACGTTTATCTCATCCCCGGCTGTGACCAGACAGGCTGATTTCCACAGTAAACAACTGTCGTACGTGTAAAAATAGCAGATTTTCCATGTCTAAAGAATACAATACAAGAGTGTTCATTTACGGCACTTCATCAAATAAAATAACAAATTGATCAAATATAAAATGGTTTAACTCGTTTTTTAAATCTTAATCTTAAATTTAAAATGATTGTAAAACATTTGTTCTAATCCCACATATCGACATTTGTGGGATTTATGTGGGGTCACAGGTCATGGTCATTTGGGTCTTGTGTATGTGAATATGTATGACTAAAACCTGCAGTAGGCTCCAAAGTAGTTCAATCGTATTCCGCCAGATGGCGCTCTTACTATATATAGTGGTAGTGCACTCAGTTTTAGTTAAAGTATAGTTTGACGATTAAATATATAAATGGAGGAGATTTTGTTTCTCTTTTCCTTTGAGTAACTTACTTCTTTTTTCCCCACAGTCTGTGACACTGATTATACACTGTGTCCTGGTGTTCTGTGACGTCAGTTCACCAAATAAACATCGTTTGTTTTTCTGACATTGCCGTGTGTAAATGATTAAATGACTTCAGAGATTATACGATAAAAAGAAAAAAGAACAAAGACAAACACGTGTATAGCCGACAAACCGAGTGAAAAACATTAGTCTGTAAAGGAAAGTGGAGCCGAGAAAGAAGTGATGCAACACTGACAATTACCACCGACATGACTCACAAAAGGAGAAGGTGACTGTGATCTTTTAAATCCAAAGACTATGAAGAAACACGTGAAAACAGTTGTACCTATCAGTCAGGGACACAGTCACATTTAGATACACAACAACCAGCCGGGAGACCAACCAACAACTAAAAAATAAAATAAAAAAACAAACAAAAACAAAAACAAAATAAAACAAAAACAAAACAACAGGACATAAGGCAAGAATCTCTATTTATAACCGAATTCTAAAACCAATGGTGAAATACAACACATGCAAATTCAAAAAATATTTCAGATTTCTGTTCCGTAAATTGCCACTGGAGGGCGCTATAAACTCATAAAATGTAATAGTACTGAGTTTGTTCAGCAGAACCACAATGACGCCGCCGTCTTTCTGAATCATTAAATCAAGTTATGATCAACACACCACTTAAAACCCGATGTATTGTTGTTATTTTCACTTTATTTGTTGTTCTTGTTGTTGTTGTTGCAGGAGAGAACACTGGCAGAAGAACTGTCGTGTTTCTTTAAAGACGCCTCATCGCTTCGCTCTTCACGCAAGCGCAGTAGAGTGCAGCGTCAGTCCGTATGAAAAACAACAACAATCAGTCCAACAGGGCCAGGCAGTAGAAAAGATGGCTCAGTAAAGAAACCACCAACACAGGCTCTCTTCACATTCACTGTCCTGCCCCAGCTTTTGCTCTTTACACCCGACTTTTGGATGTCCATGGTGCCGAGCCCATGAACCTGGCCAGTCAGAGCGGGGACGCTGGCGGAAGCCAGCTCCTTTTCGCCAACTTCAACCAGGACAACACGTAAGGCCGGGGAGAGGGTCCGGGGCTGGATGGCCTGTGTGGCTAACGGTAGCTAGCTCTGCCCGGACGTGTCTGTGCGTCCACTGGCTGACTGTCACGGTGACAGATACGGCGCAGTTACGCGAACGTTGAGACACACGCAGCAACGATAGGCGCACACTGCTAGCAGCTACGATAGCCACCTGTGTGTGGCGTAATCCGTCACCATAACGATGTAACGTGTGTAGCTTTCGCAGCGGTGTGTGGTCGCAGGCTAACGCTAACCGCTTGACACATGTAGGTTAGGTGTCATGTAACTTCTTGGCTGTCAGATGTTGCTGTAAGACAAGTACAGAGGTCGGGGTGGACAATAAAACGCAGGTTTGATTTAATTTACAGGCCTGTGCCAACGCTGTTGGAGTTTAACGAGTGCGTTAGTGATTCGATGTGTCAAAGTAGTGACTTCATTGACAACTTGAGCCATTATTGGATGTAAGTGAACATTAACTGTCTTTGCAGTTTTGACTATTATAAAAAATACATAGTTTTTATTACCGATTTATTCTATTAATTTAATTAAGTAACTTTTTGAGTTTTTGAACTTCTAAGATCTATACATATACACTGTATTTATGAATGTTATGAAACATGTTGTTGACACAACACAATGTTGCACCAAGCCATCATGTGCTGTCAGTGCCTTAAAAATAAAATAGGACGTTTGGTTTACTTTAGCCTGTTTTGTCTTAGCACTGACAGCTAGTTACTGAGCTGTTTACTCTACAATTCTATTAAACATGTCGTCGTCCCTTCTGTCATCAACACAGGTCCTTAGCTGTCGGCACCAAATCGGGGTATAAGTTCTTCTCCCTGTCCTCTGTGGACAAGTTGGAGCAGATTTATGAATGTAGTAAGTACGACTGAAGACGACACTATTGCATGACATCATTGTACCATTGTTTTTTTTATTGTTTTGTTGTTATACCTAATGCATGCCATCTGGACAAAAGTCAATCACTGTAGCATTAGAGGATTGCTGTTACATAAAATATTAATGCAGTTTATTTAGCATCCTCCCTGTTACTGCATCATCAGTCTCTGTACCTTAGACGCTCATACATTTTAGTCTGGGCCTCGTCCATTAATGGCCCCTTTTACTGCATGCAGTATTTGTTTTGTTAATTTCTGAAAAATAGTGTTTTCAACACACTGAGCCCAGATAATCTTCTGTTTTTCTGAATTGTGTGAAAAACTGAAAAATATAATATAGACATATAGGGGTGTAAGAAAATATCAGTCCACTGAAATATTGCAATATTTCATATGATTTTGTTCATTAACAATTAACATGCAGATATGAATGGTTTTGGTTCCTTTTATTTCTTCTCTAGCGATCACAGATGTAGCTCCCTCTGTTCCAGTTTCAGTAACTAAGTTTGTAACAGCATTGTGTGTTTACTACAGTATCACAGTATATCGTACTGATGGCCCTGTATCGTGATAGCTATCGTTTCGCCAGATTCTCGCCAATGCATAAAAACATGATGCTTTAATTTGTAGTCAAAAAGCAGGTGTGGAGTGTTTTGGTGTTTTGTTTTTTTGTTTTTTTTCATATTTGTATCTGCAGCAGATACAGAGGACGTGTGTATCGTGGAGCGTCTGTTCTCCAGCAGCCTCGTGGCCATCGTCAGCCTGAAGGCTCCCAGGAAGCTGAAGGTCTGTCACTTCAAGAAGGGAACCGAGATCTGCAACTACTCCTACTCCAACACCATACTGGCTGTTAAACTCAACAGACAGGTGAGCGCCGGCATCTGTGTGTCTCAGCTGCAGCAGGAGCGCTGCAGTGACTGCTTCTTGTTCGGGTACGACTGTGTGGCTAATGATTTATCGCGGCTCCCTCCACAGAGGCTGATAGTGTGTCTGGAAGAGTCGCTGTATATCCACAACATCAGAGACATGAAAGTGTTGCACACGATCAGAGAGACTCCCCCCAACCCCTCAGGTGAGACGGAGCAACAGCAGTTGTAGTAGTATATCATTCTTCCATTGACTCTGTCTATTGGATACAAAAAAAAATGAAAATATTATTTTTTATATATATTATCAAAATGAAAATGTGAGAATTGTGCTGCCATTGCTAAAAAAAATTTTATATAATTTTTTTTTTCTCATTTCTCCAGGACTGTGCGCCCTTTCCATCAGCAATGATAACTGTTACCTGGCCTACCCTGGCAGTGCCACGATAGGAGAAGTTCAAGTGTTTGACACGGTCAACCTGGTAGGTGAACACAAGTAACCCTCCCCCCCCCCTCGCCCCCCCTGCCCCCGGTTGACTGTACGTGTTAGCTCTGTCACTGCGGCTCTTGTTTCAGAGGAGGACCAGCCAGATCATCGTGACTCAGCTCCCTCCGTTCTCTGCGTCACAGCTGATCATTACCTACTGTTTTCCCGTCCTAACGCCTGTTTTCTTCTGCTTCCCAGCGTGCGGCCAACATGATTCCAGCCCACGACAGTCCTTTAGCAGCTCTGGCCTTTGACGCCAGTGGGACCAAACTGGCCACGGCCTCAGAGAAGGTGGGAGTGTGACTGGGGTTTTATTTTTTTCGAGCTGCCTGTCGAAGCAAATCGTAAAAACATGTGCTGAGATTTCCCCCAGTTCTACCGTTCTCACGTTTGTGAAGTTTATTCACGCTGCTTTAAAGCAGCTAATGTGACATCTGTGTGTGTGTGTGTGTGTGTGTGTGTGTGTGTGTGTCTTATTGGCAGCACTTCCTTGTTCTTGACATGTAACTGTTTTGTCTCACTTCCTCCAGGGCACAGTCATCCGTGTCTTCTCCATACCAGAGGGACAGAAGCTCTTTGAGTTCCGACGAGGGGTGAAGAGGTACGGCTCCGTCGCTCTGATCTAAAACCTAACTTCCTGTCTGTGCCTGCGGTCTGCGCTCGAACCATGTCAATGTACCTTACGTGTAAATATATCCTCGCAGGTGTGTGAACATTTGTTCGTTGGCGTTCAGTATGGAAGGTCTGTACCTGTCGGCCTCCAGCAACACAGAGACGGTCCACATCTTCAAATTAGAAACTCAGAAGGAGAAGTATGTGTATGTATCTTCTACACTCCACACTGTTTCTTTATGTTTGCCCCCCCGGGGGTGAATCAACAAAACAAAAAAAAAACTCAACGTATTATTTGCATGTCTCTCTCTCTCTCTCTCTCTTTCTCTCTGTACACACGTAGGCCCGCAGAGGAACCCACCACCTGGGGAGGGTACCTGGGTAAGGTCTTGATGGCGTCCACCACGTACCTGCCCTCACAGGTCACAGAGATGTTCACTCAGGGCCGAGCCTTCGCCACCGTCCGTCTGCCCTTCTGTGGACACAAGAACATCTGCGCGCTGGCTGTGTGAGTGACACACACACACACACACACACACACACACACTGTAGTCACAGATAACATGGTTGTTTAATTGTGATGCTGTAAATGTTTTGGATCAGGATCCAGAAGATTCCCCGCTTGTTGGTTGCAGCAGCCGACGGTTACCTGTATCTGTACAACCTGGATCCACAGGAGGGAGGGGAGTGTACACTCATGAAGCAGCACAGGTAACACACACACACACACACACAATGTCGCGACAGAACAGCTTCATGTTTATTTTAGTAACGAGCGACAGCGATGCCTCAGGAAAAAAAGTTGGAAAAAAAACCACTGAGTGTTTTGTTTTCTGAGTGGCTGAGACTAAAGTTGTTCTTATGTCTGTGTGTGGACACAATACAAGTCAAATTCAAATAAAGTATTTTCTTCAGAGAAGTTGCAGAATAAGTCCACTACTGGTCGACTGTGTTAGTAGATGGATCTGAAAGTTTAATGAATTATTATTTGGGTTTTTGCACAGACAGTAGTCTGGAGTGTAGTACCCCTTTTGACCACTAGGTAGCACTATTGTGCAGAAGTTATTTTCCATTGTTAAAAGTTTGGGAATTTTGATTAGACTCAAACGCACTCATGGAGTCTAGAGTGTAGTACCCTTTTTGACCACTAGGTAGCACTATGGTGCAGATTTTTTTTTCCATTGTTAAAAGTTTGGGAATTTTGATTAGACTCAAACGCACTCATGGCCATGAAAGTATTTTCTCAGTGAAGGAGTTCAAATATCAAACTTTCGTAATGGAGTCTGGAATGTAGTACCCATTTTGACCACTAGGTAGCACTATGGTGCAGAAATTATTTTCCATTGTTAAAAGTTTTTTTTAGGAATTTTGGTTAGACTCAAACGCACTCATGGCCAAATTCAAATATCAAACTTTTAGAGTTCGAGTTGTAAAATGGAAAACGCAGCACGAAGTCCACTAACATGCTGTGATTAGCATCAACTCTTCCTCTGCTGGATCTGACCTCAGGTTAGACGGCGATAACGAAGCACCCAATGAGATCCTCGAGCAAGGCTCCCACGAACGCCCCCTTGTGGCGCAAACCTACAGTGCTGCTGTCACTAAAGGTAAGTCACGGCCGTTGAATTGTGTCATTTACTTCCGTCTAATTTACTTTGTAAATTGTGTAAAAGTGAAATTTTCTCACATTTGTGTTTTGCTTAATTTTGTAGTTTTTTTGTAGTTACTAGAAAATGCCTTATGTCTCCATTAGGATTGTGATCCCAGTGCTTTCTGACTGTTTCTGTAAAGCTAATGATGAACTCGTGGTCCCGTCAGTTCTGTGTAAAGTTGTTGTTTTGATTCCGGTGAGTGATGAGCGACTGTTGTCTCCTAGGTTACTGTGAGGAGCAGGGAGCTGTGGGAGGAGCGGGACTCGAAGACGACCTCAACGACCTGCGCTTGGATGAAGAGAACGAGCAACCGCCGCTCATCCTGGAAACTGACTGACTTCACCCAACCGCGGCCGCACCCACCAATCAGAGGACTCCTCTGGTGCTGCTATGAACACGTAACAGAAGGGGGAGGGAGATGAGGGTGTGATTAAAGGGAGGGAGGGGCTGTTTTTAAAATGCTCAAAGCGTCGTCCGTCCGTCCGTCCGTCCGTCTGTGCTTTCACCTGTTTATACCCATGTCTGTGTTTCTCTCTCTTTTTTTTTTTTTGCTCCTTTTGCTTCCTCGTTCACTCCAGTTCGCCCTCTGTTGGCCGATCTGGAGCTCTGCATGTATATGTGCCAACTGCTAAAACATGCTCCAATGTGAATGAGTGTCTGAGTGTTGGACATTTGATTTAAAAAAAAAAGAAAAGAAACAATAACCATGTAGCCACGTCTCTACTGAAAACACGCACTCAGATGCTAGCACTGTGTTAAAGTGGTTGTGTAAGTGCCTCTCTGCCCCCCCCCGCCCCCTCCCATCATGGTTTCTTCCGTCTGAGAGGGGGAAACCCTTTCGCTTTTGCTTAATAAAATCTCATTTGTTTTTTCGGATCTTAATCTGAGGGTGTGTGCGATCTTTTCTCACTTCCAACTCTTTCGGACGTTAAAGTTGCACGGCGAAGAAAAAGAAAAGTTTGTCGTCGGTCGAGCCATCGATTTGACTCGGAGGCTAATGGTCGTCTGCAGATGTTCGTAAAAATGTTTGTGACCTCGTGCTGAGATCACTGGTTTGCTGGGCATGTATATTAGCAACACAACCTCCACCTGGACTCACCCACCGACCCCCCCCTCCTCACCCTCTCACCCACCTGTACCTCATCTGTACAGAGGCTCGATGGACACCTCCTCCCCCCGTCGGGGCCTACAGTCAGGCCCATTTTCAAACTGTGGTGTTTTAAACTGTCTTAAATAATTATAACCAATGATGTGTCATGTGTATGGAAACATGCATGGTGGTGTTTGTGTGCTACTGTGTCTGTAGGTTCATACCTGAGATAAAGGGTGACGAGGAGGCGACGTCACGCAGCGGGTCAGGTGACCCTGTCTATACTCTGTAGATAAAATAGTTGTGGAAAGCTGTTGTGTCGCCACGTCGACCGGTTCTGACTCCAGTCTCGGGGATGAAGGGTGTGAGGCCACGAAGAGGGCTGTGGGTTAGAGATCAGCCAATAGCAGCGCAGCCTGAAGTTGGTCAGAAACGTTGCACGGTTTCCTTCCTGTCAGTGTTTTTGGTTTGTTCGGAGACTGCGTGACCAGGAACAGCCGTGAGAATTCAGTGTGCCGGGCATTTTCTAATGATTTTGTACAACATGTATAATGTTGCTCTGACGCTCCATTGACAATAAATTCCATGTTGATGAACATGAGGTGCCTTTTTGTTTCCTAGAATCAAAAATTCTAAAAACTTTTTACTTTTACAGTTTGGGCAGGAGTTTTGTTGGTCGTCGTTCTGAACTGTGGAATTTGTCGTTTTCTTCTCTGCTCTCTAGCAGATATCTGGAGTGATGCTTTGAGGAGTGATGCTGTTACCATGGTTACAAGAAGAAATACACCATCTGTGTGTAATTCTGATTGACTGTTACTCTGACTGCAGTCAGGTCCAGGTGTTTTTAAAGTTGCTGTGACAATTCTTTGTGGTCTTCAGAACTTTAACCCAACAAAGGATGTAATTCACTTTTGTTTCACTTTTGTCTCACTCTCTGTGAACCAATGATTTTACAGACGTCAAATCTGTCCAATCAACAGGATCAGTAATGAGAGAGACGCCGTCATTTGCTCGTAGTTTATTGACACTCATGCAGGAGCGACACACGCAGGTGGGCTCTCTGTCGTTGACGTGAGAACACAGCTTTGTCCCCCCCCTCAGGCCCCCTCCAGTCTGACCACACAAACATGATGATGGTGCAGAGAACATGGACATATTTCATACAAACGTAAAATGACGTTGGACACGACGTGTTCTTAAAAGGCTGTGTATAATTCAGTGGATGTGAGTTTTTCCTGTTTATATTTATGTTTTACATCCACTAGGTGGTGCTAAATCCCACGCAGCATACGTTTAAAAACTGCAACAGGCAACATTTAAAAAACTAGACAAACGTAGTGCAGCAACAAACAGAACAACTGGTGACATTCATTAGTTCATCAATTATTAAGACTAGAAGTGATGTTTAAGACTTGTTTAAGACTTGTTTAAGACTTGGGGCTTCTTTAAGACTTCCTTCAGGATTTCTCTGCTCACATCTTCATCAAGTGTCCACTGGGGGGCTGGAGGAGTGTGTGTCACTCTGACCAAGCAAACAAACAAACAAAAAGTAAGGTTACCCACATACAGACGCTGCAGTACGACCACATGCTGTGTGTGTTTATGCCGACCTGCTAGCAGTGTGTGTGTCCACCTCAGTCGTCCTGTCCCCCACCGGACGGCTTGGTGACCTGGACGATCTCCACCGAGGTGAAGCCTTTGGTGGTGGAGGCTCGGTTCCTGGTCCTCATCTTGTTGAGGGCCATCTCGGCCATCTCCGCTCGCTCCTCGGCGTCGTCCAGCTCGTGCACCGGCTTCCTGTACTTGGACAGGCTGGGGTTGGCCTGCTCCTCCTGCAGTGACGGGGGGGGGGGGGGGGGGGTGGAGGGGGGGAGACGGTTAATATTCTTTATATTAATCAAATCTGACATCACGACTGAACTGTTTGTCTGACAGGATTTCCAACATATTTGCATACACGTGTGCATTTGTCTAAACCAGTACTTCTCAAATAGTGGGGCGGGACCCCCTGTGGGGCACGGTGAGGTGCTGGGGGGGCATGAGGGGCTTTAATTACTGCTGAAATGCTTTAATTAGTCACTAGGTGGCAGCAACTCATACAGTGGTTTGTACAGATGTTATGAGGTTCTCAATGGTATTTCAATTTGAAATACTAAATAATTGAGGACCACTGGTGTACACCGACTCGATGGTCGTCCTCTGACCAGTGTATACCGACTCGATGGTCGTCCTCTGACCAGTGACCGTCGGTGTCACGTCTACTCACAGCTTCCTCTATCTGATGTTTGTAGGACTTCAGCTTGTTCTGGAGCTTCTCCACCAGCTCCTGCATGCGCTGGTTGGTCTTGTGGTCCTCCTCCGTCTGGAAGATCAACTCTTTGAGTCGACGCTCGCCCTTACGGAGGTTTTTCACCGTCTCCGTGTGACGCTTCTGCTCCTGGTCCAGCTCATTCTCCAGCTCCTTGATCTACCGGGACACAGATGTGGAGTGTGACGTTGGAGGTCATTCAGTCATTGTTTTTTTTCATCTGAGTCAGACCAGCCACACACCTTGGTTTCCAGTTTCTGGATGGTGCGTTTGCCAGCCTTCAGCGCCTGCTGCTCAGCCTCCTCCAGCTTCACCGTCAGGTCTCTGATGCTCTGCTCGTAGTTCTTCTTGACCTTCTCCAGGTGGGAGCTGCGGTCCTGCTCCTGGCGAAGCTCCTCACACAGTCGCGTCGCCTGAACACAGACGTACAGTAACTCAGTTCTACGTCCAATCAAAATCTGTAAATGAGTAAGTCTGTGCAAGTCGGAGACTCACGTCAGTCACCGCCTTCTTGGCTCTTTCGTCTGCAGCACGGAACTCTGAGATCAGCTCCTCGTTCTCGCTGGACAGTCGTGTGAGGTCGGCCTCCATTTTCCGTTTGAAGATGATCAGACTTTGATTCTGGTGTGAGACGAGAAACATGATTTACTCGGAGGAGGAGGACGTTGTGTGTCCTTCAGTTCTCCTGTGCGACCTCGTACGTACCTGCATGCTGATCTCACTGAACCTCTCCGTGGTGTCCACCAGTTCCTGCTCAATCTGTTTGCGTGCCCTCTCGGAGGCCTCCAGCGCTCCCCTCAGCTCCTCCATCTCCCCCTGCATGAGGCACAGTCGTCGCTCCTGCAGGCTGTACTTCTCCCTCAGCTCGTCGTGCTGACGGGCGTCCTCGTCCATCTGCACCTGCAGGTCCTGGAGAAAAAAAATTAATAATCACACAGTTCTTCTTCTTCTTCATCTTCTTCTTCTTCAGATCTGTGTATTTCACAGTCCAACTTACTTTGATCTGCTGCTGCAGTTTTTTCAGGGTCTTCACCAGCTCGGCGTTGTTCCTGTTAGCGTGCTCCAGCTGAATCTCCATCTCATTCATGTCTCCTTCCATCTTCTTCTTCATCCTCAGGGCCTCGGCTCGACCTTTGGCCTCTGCCTCCAGACTGGCCTGCAGCGACTCCACTGCACGTGCGTGGTTCTTCCTGGATGGTACCATCACAGTATATGAAGTATATAAAATGTTGAAAAATGTTTCCCTCACGACACCAACATAACTGTGATGTTCCCAGCGATCGCTGTTATTAACTCTCAGTCTCAGTCTGACCTGGTGACCTCGAACTCCTCCTCTTTTTCATGGATCCTACGGTCAATGTCGGCCTTGACCTGGGCCAGCTCCAGCTGTACCCTCACCATTTTACCTTCTTCGACCTGGACACACACACGGAACGCCACGTTTACACAAACTGGTCTCTGACAGGAGGAGAGAAACTCCACGACTCTCCTCTTGTTTTCACCTCTAATGAAGCTTCCGCCTCCTCCAGAGCCAGCTGCATCTCCTCCTTCTCCACCTCCAGCTTCTTCTTGATTTTCTGAAGCTCGTGGAAACTGCGGCCTCCCTCACCAAGCTGGTCCACCAACTCCCTGATCTCCTCTGTGAGAGAACTGACGTTGTTACCCTGTAAAGTGACCGTGGATTTGACGGATCCGCAGGCGGCCGGTGAAGTCACCTGAGAGGGTCTTGTTCTCCTTGCGGACGATCTCAATCTGATCCTGACTCTCCTCGTACGACGTCCTCAGCTTGTAGAGCTCCGTCATGTAGGAGCGACTCTCCTTCTGGCTGGTCTCCAGCTCCAGTTGCAGCTCCTCGTTCTTTTGGCTCCACTCGGCTGCCAGCTTGTCAAAGACTCGCTGCTTCTTGTCCAGAGCCGCTGCTGCGGCGTTGGACTGGTCACAAGGAGGCAGAAAAGGTCAGGGATTAATGACAGATTCATAACAAGTTAAATAAATGAGGCAGCGGGCTGGAGGTCAGACTTTTGTTATTCTATTTTGTTGCGGGGACCTTTGTCCCTGTGGGGACATTTTTTCAGGTCCCTTTAAGGAATGCGTTATGTCTAAGTCCTTACAGCTCATGAAAACCAGACTGCGTGTGTCTCTACCTTCTCCAGGTCTATGGTGAGGTCCTCCACTTCACCCTGCAGCCTCTGCTTCACCTTCTCCAGACTGGCAGCTCTGGCCTGAGCTGCCTCCGCCGCCTCCTCAGCCTCCTGGAGCCGTGCCGCAAGTTTTTTCCTGCGGGGGGAGAAGTGGGCGGAGGGAAAGGTGGAGTCACTTCTCAGTCGGACGCAGTTTGTTGATGCGATTTATTTCTCCAGTAGATTTTCCCCGAAGCTCTCTTTAACTTACTTGGTCTCCTCCAGCTCCTCGGTGCGATGGATGGCGTCGGTCTCGTACTTGCTCCTCCAGGACGTGACGTCAGCATTCAGCTTGGACACGAGGCGTTGGAGTTCGCTGCGGGCTTCTGACTCCTCCTCCAGCTGCTCTTTGAGCAGAGAGAGGTCATGACGAGCGTTGGCCAGCGACACGACTGCTGTGTTACGACCCTGCAGGACGACAGTCGAAAAGTTCTAAGACAAAGGTTGTACTTTTCAATGATGTCTGATTTGGCAATAGTTGTGTGTGTTGTACCTTGTTCTCCTCCTCCACCTGTCTCTTGAGTTCGTCCACCTGCAGGATGAGCGAGGCCTTCAGCCTGCTGGTCTGCGTAAACCTACTTTGCACATCTTCCAACTCCCGGCTCAGGTCGATGTTCTCCGCTGAAGAAGAAAGAAAAAAAAAACCCAACAATAACATCAAACAATAAAACACAAATATGGTTTGAATTCATTTCCCTCCCTCACCAGTCAGATGTATTTTGGCGGAGTTGAGATCAGACTGAACGCGCTCCAGCTCAGCCAGGCGTGCGTTGGCCTCCGACAGGTTGTCCTCCAGCTTGTGGACGTGGGCATCAGAGTTCATCTGCATCAACACACGGCACAAATGCGTGAGTTTCAGCGGCCGCGTCGCGTCCACGTCTCTTCTCTAAGGTTCACTTTAGTACCTTTGCCTTCTGAGTGGCCTCCACCGTGACGTTGAGATCTTCGATCTCGGCCTTCATGCTCAGTTTGTCCTTCTCCAGTTTGACCTTCAGCCTGGTCAGGTTCTCCAGCTGCTCTCCCAGCTCTGCCATGGCATCCGAGTGTTTCTTCCTGAGCCCGGCCGCCGTGGCCTCAGACTGGAGCGCGGCCTCCTCCAGCTCGCGCCTCAGCTTCAGCAGCTCTGCCTCTCTCTTCCTGTTTTGTTCGATCTTTAAAAAGTACAGCAGTGGAGTCAACATCAGGGTGAAGTGGTTTCTCAGACAACATGACAGCTGTCAATCATCCTGACCTGGGCCACGGTGGCTCCTCCGGCCTCCTCCAACCTGTCGCTGAGATCATCAAGATCACGTGACAGCTCAGCCCTTTGCTTCTCAACCTATAACAAGACACCAAGGAGAAAATACCTTCATTCTTATCTGCGTCTTTAGAGGAGTCAGTCCCGTGACGATCAGAGGAAGTAACGGCTGAAACTACATCCTGTACCTTGGCTCTTATGGCTCGCTCAGCCTCCAGTTCCTCCTCCAGCTCCTCGATGTGGCACTGAAAGAAGGAGACGCAGATCCCAAAACTGATGAATCAGAGCCTACGTTTTATTAAGAGGCTGAAAAAATATTCGTTTTTAAGATTTAAGTGTAGTGCTAAACACAACTAATCAGTGAGTGACTTACAAAATGATCAATCACGTCACTGACTAATGACCACATGATGGTGCTAGAGGACATGTTGCACGTGTTTGAACAGTTCTGTGATCAAGGATTACGTTTGTTTAGCTTTATATTTAACTGTTTATTTGATGATTGTTGATGTTTGATTTACATCTGTGTATGCACAGATATAACACAGCTTTTATCTTAAGGAATTATCATGGGGGGGGGGGGGGGGGGGGGGGGGGGGTAATATCGAAGGACAGGGGACACAGGAGGAGCTCTGATCTGTGTCTTTAACAAACCAGCCTGTTGTGAGGAAAGTTCTTGCAGGTTTTAAAGATTTGCCAACATGGAATCTTTGATCATTGTTGATGTGACCCTTTTTTCTGTTTGTTTTTTTTACCTGATGCTCTTTGATCTTGCGGCTAAGCATGGAGCTGAGTGCTTGTTCGTCCTCCAGCTTCGAGTTCATGTTGTTAATCTCAAAGTCTCTCCTGGAAGAAACCCCACGACGGAAGATCAGTCGGTGTTTAATGAAGCTCCAGATTGATTTTAGACTTTTGCAGTTGTTTTGCAGGTGGAGGTGTGTGTGTGTGTGTGTACGTGTACGAGTGCGTCTCACTTCCTGATGACCTCCTCCAGGTCGACCTTGGCGTTCTCCATCTCGTTCAGGTTCTCTATAGTCATCTTCAGGTCGCCCTCTGCTTTTCTTCGTGCTTTTTCCACCTCTGCTCTGATCCTCTTCTCCTGCTCCCAGCTGTCCTCCAGCTACACACACACACACACACACACACACACACAGATAAGTGTCCACCTGCACATGTTTCTGCAAGAACTAAGTCAACTAAGTCCTGTACCTCATTGACTTGTGCATTGAGCCTGCTGTTGGTCTTGGTCAGATGGTTGACTTTGTCTTCCTCTGTCTGAAGTTCCTCCAGAGTTTTCTGCATTAAAACATGAACATATATATTATTGTTTTGTTCATTTAGTTCAGTTTGATGAAGTCGTATGAGTATTTTTAAGACTTTTATTTCCCAGTTGTGTGTCGTACCTGTTGCAGCTCCTCCAGAGCTCTCCTGTCCTTCTCCAGTTTGGAGATATGGTCGTCCCTCTGGCTCAGGTCACCGGTCAGAGTCCGCACCTTGTAGTCCAGACCCTAAATGCACCATTGAACAGCAGTGCATTAGTCTGACACTAAACCTGGGACCAGATCAACCAAGTACCCAAGTAGGAGGTTCTTAAAAACACAAATCTCATTTACATCTCCTGGGTAAAATTTGGACATTTTTTATTTAAAGTCAATACAGAGGAAAATGTTCAGAAAGTTAAATAAAGAAACGTTTACACCTTCCTCTCCGTAGTCTCACCCCTCTCCTCCTTTACCTGTTTCTCCTTCTCCGTCTTGGCCACCGTGGACTCCAGAGACTCCAGGTCTTTCTTCAGCTCGTTCACTTCTCCCTCCAGCTGTCTCCTCTGACCATGGAGGGAGGCCGTGTTGCCTTCCTCCTCCTCCAGGCGCTCACACAGGTCCTGGGTTCAGTCGAGACAAGCAGCATGAGTTAATCACGGCCTCACAGAGGGGGGTCATAATGGCTTCATCAGGGTCAAAGGTGAAATCACCTGCACCGACTCCTCCAGCTGGACCTTCTGGTGCATCAGCTGTGTGCAGCGTTCCTCGGCATCCCCCAGCGTGTCCTGCTCCTGCAGGGTGACGGGGGTTAGTCAGTGTAGTTTGGCACCGACTGTATCGTGCACAGGCCTGTACTTACTGCAGCCAACGCTAGGGACAAGTCACTCTTCTCCTGTGACAGAGTGAACATCTTCCCCTCGAGATCTTTGATCTTGCCCTCCAGCTCCTTGGCCTTCTCCAGTGCCACCCTCAGCTCCTCCTCCTTGGCCTTATAGATCTCCTCCTGACGAGCAACCATGAGCAGGGGCTTGACCTACAGCAGCCAAGGTGAGAAACACGTCAGTAATGAACTCGAGGACGGTGATGTCCATAAAGACGGTCAGAAACGTAACCACTAGCCTTAGTGTAAAGTTTCCACCAGCCCCAGTAGCGAAGCTGGAGGAACTTCCTCACGTTACGCTGGATGGCCATCAGCGCAATTCTGCATCAGCCCACACAAAGAGAACAACTCATTAGAGGAGAGTGAGTCACTGTGGTGAAAACCCACACTCAAACACACACACACACACTTGTGGTGAAAACCCACACTGAAACACACACACACACACACACACACACACTGACCGTCTGTCCACCATCTTCTTAAACTCGATCCTCATCAGAGTTCCTCTCAGTTGAGCCTGCAGCAGAGTGATGATCTTGGCCAGACGTTCGTCGCGCATGTCTTCCAGCTTTGCCAGAACACCTGCACGGAAAAACACCTGGAGAGCCCAGGAAAAAATTATACACATGATAGTTCGTGTGCGTATCACAGACGAGTGAACGGACTCATGTCGGGTGCTGATATTTCTGTGTGAAAAGTTGAAGAACCTTGGTGTGGCCAATGCGGTACTCCATGTTATCCAGACCGATGGAGTTCAGGATGAGCTCGGACGCCTTTTTGTTGTCGACAAATCCCTTAGGGATGACATTGGGGTTGAGGATACAGTACCTACAGCAGGAGGTGGAGAAAAAAAAGAGGTGATCAATATCAAAACAAAGGAGGGAGTAGGAATATAATTTACAGGCTCAGACCTTTGTTTGAATTCTGGGTACTGTAGTCTATTTGGGAATCCCTTTCGGCAAATACGGATTCCCTCCAGAACACCGTTACAGGCCAACTGGTGCAGGATCAGGTGATTATCAGTAACTCCTGTTTTTTTATAACACAAACAGACATGGTGTCATTTTAAATCCCAGCTTCTTATTGATGATGCCGTGTTCTATTTCAGTACTGTGGTACAAAGAGGTAAAATTACTGTGTATTTGTTTACTTCTATTTCAGTACTGTGGTACAGAGAGGTAAAGAAAAAAAAACTCCCACACAAACCTCAGCTACTGACCTGACTTTTTGAACTCATTGGGCACAATGCAGCGGACAAAGTGAGGAGCAGTGCTTCTCAGTGTGCTCATCAACTTGTTCAACTGTTCCTGTTGAACGTTAACACACAAATACTGAAACGTTAGGTCTCAGTTTCTAAATATAACTCGATAAAACGTCACATTTCCTCAATCATAAAATTATGATAAAACTCCAGAAGGAAAACTGTGTGGGACGTGATCTCTGTTCCAGGTTCTGTTTGTGTCCAATCATCTGCTGCAGTGAGACTGAACCAGTTACCCTGTAGAAGTTGGAGACGGTTTGGAACGAGGAGCCTTTCTTCTGCTTCTTGGTTCCTGTAGCGCCCCCTTCCTCTTCTTTGAAGAGCAGAGCCAGCAGAGGCATGGAGGACTTCTGGAAGAGTCCCACCACTGTCTCGTTCAGGGGGTCTTTGTTCTTCTCCAGCCAGCCGACGATGTTGTAGCCCACCTGTTGACGGCCCGCCAACAACAAATGAATGAAATCAAACTGACCGACACACACGTCGAGTCAAATCCTCCGTCAGTTATTTGGTTCTTACGGTGCCGGCGTAGTGGACCAGCTCAAAGTGGACCTCAGCTCCTTTCCTGCCCCCTTTTGGTTTGAGGAAGTTGGAGGACTTGCCCACGTGGTTGTCATACAACGATGCCTTGAAGGTCATGTCTGTCGCCTTTGGAAACACACACTGTTCCTCCAGAATAGAGAAAATCCCCATGGGCTGAAGAGGAGAGATGTAAAAAAAAAACCTGCATCTGATTGGACGTACACATACAGTTACTTTGTGTATTACTCTCAGTGCACAGTACCTTCTCCAGCAGGTCGATACAAGCCTGGAGGTCCAGACCAAAGTCGATGAAGACCCAGTCGATGCCCTCCTTCTTGTACTCCTCCTGCTCCAGCACAAACATGTGGTGGTTGAAGAACTGCTGCAGCTTCTCGTTGGTGAAGTTGATGCAGAGCTGCTCAAAGCTGTTTAACTGGACGGAGAGATGGAAGGTGTGGATTTTCTTTTTTTCTACTTCGACAGCATATTTATATCTTTCCTCAGCCGATCCTACCTCAAAGATCTCAAACCCGGCAATATCCAGTACTCCTATGAAGTACTGCCGCTGCATCTTGGTGTCCAGGGTCTTATTGATGCGAGTCACCATCCACTTGAACATGCGGTCGTAAATGGCCTTGGCCAGAGCGCCGATGGAGTACACACACTGGTCCTGGTTCTGACCTGAGCTCAGATTCAGACTTTAAGATGAGTGTGTGTTTTCACAGTCGCTGATTTAAATATTTGGATTTTTAAATGTGGTTTGAATTTTTACCTTTGGTCACAAATTCATTGCCAACTTTGACTCTGGGACGTGTTATACCCTTTTGGAGCTCCCCGGAATTGATGGCCATGAGGTGGGCAACTTTGTCGGCCACTTTAAAAGAGACAATACAAACAAAAATGATCACTTTTATAACACCTGCAAGAATAGTAGAACTGGGAGGAAAAACTGTTCAGGCGTGTGATGAAATAATTGACATTTAATTTCTACTTCTACATCAATTAAATATATATTTTGTATTGATGCTAAATGTTGTTGTCATTACTCCAGAATGAAGTGATGTTTTTGTGTGTATTAGCAGCAGCATGTTTGATCACCATGTTGACCATAGTGTATAACTTTATACCACTAGGTGGTGGTATATCCTGTATGGTGCAACTTTTGAGGGAAATGTTTTCAAGCAAGATGAAAAATGCACAAGTGGACGGAGAACAGAGAGAAATACAGCGATAAACACAGAGATGGAGGCTGTGATTCTGTACCCTCGGTGGAATCCACATCAGCCTGTTCCTCTCTGGCCTTCTGTTTGAACTTCATGTTGCCGAAGTGCATTATGCCTCCAGTCAGCTTGTAGACGCTCATCTTCTCCTCAGAAGTGAAGCCCAGGACATCAAAGGCCTCCTGCGGACAAAAAAGAGATCATTAGTGCATCACACCAAAGTAACATGCACAGAGGCAGCAGTCAGAATTAGACTGTAAGATCAGATTTCTTGTAAAAATGGAATTCATCAGATGTTAAATTTATGCCGAGCATAAAAAAAAGAAACAGCTGATGTAAGAAGCTTTGAGAGCAGGATTTAAGAGACTGAGAGTTTTACTGACATCAGTGAGCTGCAGCTCCTCTCCATCGTCCATGTTGTCCACCACAGTGACTCCCTGACAAACCCACACGTACTGTTTAGGGTCTGGACTCAGCAGCAGAGCCTCTGGAAAAAAAAAAAAACACGGAAAATAACACAAAAATATTACCACAAAATAATAAGTTTTATCATGAAAATAGAAGATCTGGCAAAAAATAAAATACAAGAGAAGAAGTTGCTATAAATATTAATAAATATAGCTTTAGTTTTACCAATAAATTAGTACAACTTAAAGATAATTCAATTAAAATGTTAAAATGTCTGAAAGCTAGCAACTCATACAGAACAGATACATGTTCAGAAATGTACAAAAACAGGAAATATAGTTACCAGGATGTCAAAAAGATTTAAACAACAATCTTGTAGATAACATTTTATAACTTAGCTTTGACGTAGAGCTAACGTAGCCTTGGGTAAAAATGAACTTAAAAGTAGCAAAGAAGAAGCTAAAGTTAGCTTAGCGTAGTAGCAGTTGCCAGGAATGAGTGAAAAATAGCAAAAATAATAGCAATGATTGACTGTTCAACTAGACTGCTTTATTATGACACACTTGTAAAACTTTAGTGAAGTAAAAAACAACAATCTGTGGCTCAGTTTCATTTTCATTTTCCTCACCTATGAGTTCTGGCCTCCTTCCAGAGAGGAGCTGGTAGAAGATGTGGTAACCTCTCTCCGTAGCCTGCTGGGAAATCACCCTGGATTTCTCCAACAAATCTAACTCACAGAAAGAAAAAAAAAAGAACATTACAAACACAACACCACTTTATCAGTAACAAGTATGTGTTTTTTTTATGGCTAATGAAGTCTGTGCTTTCATTAAAGCCACCCACATTAGAACATTACAAACACAACACCACGCAGACTTTATCAGTAACAAGTATGTGTGTTTTCTTTTTATGGCTAATGAGGTCTGTGCTTTCATTAAAGCCACCCACAGCTCTCGATATCAGCACCAGCCAGCTTTGCTGTGGGGCCGAAGTGGATGCGAATGAACTTTCCCTAAAAACAAAAGGCAGAGCAGAAAAACAGACTGTTGGTTCTAACGTTTGAACTGATGTGGTGTTACAGTAGTGTGTGATAGTTCATTTAACAGCGTGCAGCTTTATCAGACGGTGGTCCGTACAAAACGGGAGGAGTTGTTGTTCCTGATCGTCTTGGCGTTACCAAAGGCCTCCAGCACTGGGTTAGCCTGAATGATCTGGTCCTCCAGAGATCCCTGAGGGCAGAGGAGAGAAGAAGAGAGGAAAGGAAACGAGAGGAGAGGAGAGGAGAGGAGAGGAGAGGAGAGGAGAGGAGAGGACAGGAGAGGAGAGGAGAGGAGAGGAAAGGAGATTTATTTACTTATTCATAAATTTCAAAAAACTAAACTAAAAAGGCTATTTTTAATATCTTTATATTTAAAAAAAGAAACTAAAAAGGCTATTTTTAATATCTTATCTGTGTGCAATAATTTACTTAAATATCCTGTAGCCTTAAATGGCCTTAACTTCTGCATTTCCTGTTTCCTTTATAACAACAAAAGTTAAAAAATGCCTTTTTGCTTCATCCTGTCCAGTTATACGGACAGTAGCGTGTGATCTTTGAAGAAAAAAAACCCCCATTAAAATCAAAGAGTTATCTGCCTAAATTATAAATAAAACCCACTAACGACTGATCCCAAATGTGACTGCACTTGCCTTGGAGTCTGAGGCTTTGCTCCCAGAGGCTCCAACATTAGCAAAGTACTGGATGACCTTCTTGGTGTTCTCAGTCTTGCCGGCACCAGATTCTCCACTGAGGGAAAGATGAGAATAGAATTTTAATTTAAATGTTAAATTTACTATTGAAAACAGACAAAAAAACAAAACAAAAAAGAAAACATGTGTCCTCACGTGATCAGCATGGACTGGTTCTCATGCTCTGCCATGTCCCGACAATAAGGAGGGGAGACAGGAAGAAAGACAAACAGAGTGTGAGCAAGGCCGGTTTAATGACTGTTGATTTCCCACAGAGCAGATCACAGGAGTAAAGATGTTCCCTGTCAGCACCGGCAACAACACAGGCAGCTGTCAGCTTCTCCCCCGGCGACACATAATGGCCTCAAAGTCATTTTCATCTCCCTGAACAGATCATCGCAATACTTACAAACCTCCAGCAACTGCCTCTGCTCCCTCTTTCCACGTACAACTGTGTAAATGTTTTCCAGCGATTACACAGCGGTTATCCCTAATCACTACATACCACAGGCATGTTTACCTCAGCTCGGCCAAATTCAAACCCCCTCCCCTCACTCATCGTTGGCTCTTCTTCCTCACCCATCATCATGTCGTGGTAAGCGTTGTCCGAGACGGAGAAGAGGTGAGGAGGAACTTCGTTGCGTTTCTTCCCCTTGTACATCTGGGCCACTTTGGCTCCGTAGATGGGCAGCCATTTGTAGGGGTTGATGGTCACACAGAAGAGGCCAGAGTAAGTCTGGAGAGGAGAGGGAGGAAACTGATTGATCCATCTTCTACCGCCTGATGCTTTCAAAGTCACACAGGAAGTCTTCAGGTAAGGATGGAACACACCTTGGATTCACACTCATATTTATACCTAGAGTCAACATAGAGAGTCCACTCAAACTAATCTCATGTCTGTTTCAGGACAGAGTCCAAGCACAGACATTCAGAACATCTAAACCCAGTTACCACGAGGGAATCGAACTGGTGACCTTCTTTATCCCTGTCTTTTCCACTTCCAGACTGGACTGATTCATCTCTATCTCTAAAATTAAAGGATGAAAAATAATATTTTATTTAAGTCCAGACTTAGTCCTTTTGACTTCAAGCTTCAGTTTATCTGTTTCAAAGTTGTTGTTTTTTTTTAGCATTACTGAGTTAAAACAACAATATTTTTTCCTCCTCAGTTTCAGTAAATGAGTCATCCACTTCTTTGGCCACAGTCGGTTCTCTCTACGTGCAACGATTTGTCATGTAGTGTGTGTTTGTGGGTGAGCTCTACAGGACAGGACACAGAGGTGTGTACTGAGGCTTACGTAGATCCTCATGTGGACGTATCGGCCGCGCAGGTTCTCCAGGACACTGGCCTCATTCAGGAACGTGAGGTTGGCCATGTCGCTGGCTTGGTAGAACTTTGGAGGGTTCATTTGTTGAACATCATCCTTCTTCACAATCACAGTCTGACAGGGGAGTGAAAAAAAAAGAATTATCACAGTCAATGTTATAATAGTTACAGCAAATATTTCATTATATTCATTACTGCACAACTTCAGTCTCACCGTGCTCTTGGTCTTGACGGTGACTTTGTCTCCATCTTCAGACTGAATCTCTCCGGCGATGAAAGCCTCCTTCTCGTCTTTGACCCAGCAGGAGCGCTTGATGTCGTACGGTTTGTTCATAGCATCCATCCGCTCCTTCTCTGTGGGGACCAGGAACGGCATGGGGTCCACCTCATCCCCACACTCACCTTTGTATCCGCCCGGCATGGCTGCTGCTGCTGCTGCTGCAGACTCCAAATCCTCGGCCCACTGACCCACAGGCTGCTGCAGAGAGAGAGAGAGAGAGAGAGAGAGAGGCTGGGACTGGGATGGAAAATGGAAATAAAGTTAGAACAGGAAGAGAGAAGTAGAAGGACTTTCTCCTTGACATCTTCAGTATCATACTTACCAAAGCTGGGCCCAGGTACGCAGGAGGAGGATTTGGGGTGAGAATTGTCGTCGTGGTCTTATATATCTGGGCGTCCATCTCCTGATATGGTCACAACTCTAAAATCAGCTCTCACCCTGAGGTCTCATCCTTCTGATCTGCCTGGCAGCTACAGATCTGGAAATTCTTCGCTGCATCTCCGTCCATTTAGGGTTTCCCTGGAAAGTCATCACTCAGCCTGGAGGCATCTCCATCCCTCTCTGGATCAATCTTCTCCAACCCTCTGCCCTTCCATTTTCATCCCACTTTTGCTTGCTGTCTTTTTCTGTGTCTGATGGGATTTGGGATGAGTAAGGCAGTTTAAATTAAAACCACTGACACACGGAGAAGGTAACAGCTATTTATTCTCATATCGCTGTCTTAACTTTTTAGAAAACAGATCTTGTTTTTCTGCATAGTCGATAGAAATGACTTTTATATTAACATTATAAATTTCATGAAGTGTACAATATTTTCCAGGAAATTTATAGTTAAATTGTAAAATGAAATAAATAAAAATCTAATTGTTTTTTTCAACAGACATGAAATCACTTTTCTATATTTTATTTGATTCAATAAAAATGTTTTTATTCCTTAAGTTAAATACAATGTCAATCAGATCTTTGAAGAAAAAAAACTCCTTTGTTGAAAAACAACATTTTATTTTAGACCAGTTCAGAGCTCGTTTCTCATACACTTAACGTCAGAACTCCTTTGTTGAAAAACAATATTTTATTTTAGACCAGTTTGGAGCTCGTTTCTCATACACTTAATGTCACTTCATTCACTTTAACTCTGCTACGATATCCTTCAAAATTATTCATTATTTTAAAGCTTACAGATTCGATTAAATCATTTGGCCTCAGCGTGTGTTCCCCTCAGCAGTACTTCAGTACATGTGTATTTACTTCATGTCTGGGCTGTTGGGACCATTTCCCAGAATGTAGATTTCTTTGCAGCTGTTGCACATGTTCCCAAAGGGGGGCACTAAAGGACACGGATTGACATGGCAGCGCACACACAGACGTTAGACGAAAGAAGTCAATCACACAACATGATCGTGTCCATGTATATTTTCCTGTTATGCTACAGAATCCTTACATGTTTGTTAGGTGGGATTTCTTGGGACAATAAATTTATATTATAGGCTGTAGAACAAAATGAAAGAGGATTCTAACTCTGTCCTCCGGTGACCTCCTCCTCCTCTCCTCATCACAGAAAGGTTTCAGGTAAGTGTTTTTGTTTCTTTCATTTTTGGTTTCTCCTTCAGACTGAGTTTGCCCGAGGATGGGAATTACCAAGTTCCCGGGAATACCATTGGCTTGTGAGGGACTTTTTGAATAACACACACACACACACACACACACATGCATGTACAGACATATACACACTCATAATCACATAATCATACTAACAGCTGTACATGACCCTTTTGTGTGTGTGTGTGAGAGAGAGAGAGAGAGTTTATGCGCTGCCACCTGTGTAGTGTCGACACTGTAACAAACATGTGGGAATTAGACAGATGCAGTATAAAAGTAGGTTGGGTTAAAACAAAAGGCATGAGACAGATGGACAGACGGATGAGCTCATCACTTCCAGACTGAAGCTGATTAACAAATAGAATGTACTTTATGTGATTATTATTACTATTTTCTGTTGTTAGTGAAAGAGAGTGTGTGTGTGTGAGTGTATCCAGCAAGCTGATTGACTGCTTAAGGTGGATTTAGTGTGCCCTTTAAACAGTATGTTGAGAGGGGCTATTGTTGCAGCAGCTTATACTGCAACCATGCAGCTAGATCCAGCACAGCTGAATTCCCTCAGAGATTTGGCTGGAAACGTTTTTTAAAACTCTAAAAAAAAAAGCCTGGAAACGTTTTTTAAAACTCTAAACAAATAAAAATAAAAAAAAGAGGTCGGATCTGAGTGATCTGTGAAAATTAAAATATTAAAAAAAAGACATACAAAAGTGGCGCAAAATAAAGGAATATAATATTGTAAAGACTAGAACCATATCAGATTTGATCAGATAGGACTTAACTACAGCCCTTTGACTGTTTACATTTTTTAAGTAATCTATCTATCTATCTATCTATATCTATCTATCTATCTATAAATCTATAAATCTATAAATCAATAAATCAATCAATACATCAATCAATAAATCAATCAATAAATCAATCACTGGGTACAAAATGTTAACCAAAGGTGAAACTGTGTGCTTTCGATACAAGTATGTCTCATCGTGCACGCCTACGCTTCCCGGACGCGAGCACGTAAACGCACTGCCCGTTAAGAACATGACGTAAGTACGTGCTTCAGCCTGCCTGAAAATGTTCTCCAGTGTTGTTGGCTTTCGAAGGAGCGCAGGACTTTTTCATGAAATAATACCTTTTTACTGGCCAGGGACGACGAAACCAAGCGCATGATTTTGGACTGTAGTAGCTTGCGCTCCTGATAAGGGCTGAAACGGTGTTTTTGGGAGACTACAGCGGGAAGTTTGTGTGCTTTTCTCCCGGAGTGATGTCGAATCCTGGGACTAGAAGAAACGGCTCCAGCATCAAAATCCGGCTGACAGGTAAAAAACGAGAGCGAAACCGTGTGTTGAGCATGGGTTTTGTGGAAATTAATGTTTACCTTTACTGTTTGTTTTGTCAACTGTTGAAATTGACCACAAATAGGCTACTGTTTGAGTGTCTGTTTGCTCTACCGTTCGCCCAAACATCCGGTTTTTGTGTGGCACAAGTGCTAGCTTGTTCGTTGGGATGCTAGCGAAATCTCTAAAGGACAGTGGACCAACTGTCCACTGATCTGTGGTCAGCACAGACACGTCCGACTGGCCGATTCCTTTAAGCGCGCTTAAAACGTGTACACAAATAATCGGTCATTTTAAATGATTTCATTCTAACATTGTAGTTACAGTTGACTGCTAACAGCTATCCAGCTAGCGTTACACCCTTTTTGGTTGGCTGCTGACCACCAGTCTAACACTACAGACGGACCCCAAAGTCATCAACTCTGTACACAAGGTGAAAGTTAATTCCGAACAACATGTTCCTCAGAAACAGGTCTATCAGTAGGTGTGAAATAGATTAGAGCTGATCATTTCCGTGTGGTGTCTGCTGCGGCTACTCAGATGTCTGTATGATTCTCTTGAACTTGTCCCCGAACACATAAGCTGTTAATGTATTTATGTTTTTGCGTCTATTTTATCTTATGACTTTCCGTCAGATTAAAGTCCTTTAAAAGGTCACGCTCGGTCGAGACTGTCTCAGTCGGCATATAGACCTGAACAACCCTGTTAACAACTCAGAAAATCAGAAAACTGTTTGTACTCAAGGTAAAAGCAAATAATAGTAAAAAAAAAACAAACTCGACAGCAGTCATTGATTTATATATAGTAACTGGAACAGACGAGTCTGGTTTCTGTGTTTTGAAAATTCGCTTTCATTTCACTTAATCGTTATGGTTTAATTATTTTACTTTCCATGTCTTTTGTTTTGAATATAATGTACTGCATTCTTCCCTCTGATGTATTTACGACGGTGCCCTCTATTCAATGTGTGTATTGTTGTTCCTCTCTACCTCATTATAAGTGGTTTATATTTACTAAGTAAGTTAAATATTTGCGGCAGCACCAGACACGTTGTGTTTTTTTTTTATTGAGGACTAAATTCTACCATATGTTATGCTACATGATTTGGCAGCAGTGGTTAGGTCTGGAATTTGAACCACTGTATTCAACTATACTTCAGAAGCCTTGAATTCCAAATGAGGTTTAAATTCATAAAGTCATAAATCACCACAAATGAGTCTGGAGACATAAAGATGTTCCAAAAAACATTTTTAGAGTTGCGTTACCCTGAGATATATCAACTACTGTGTGAAAAACAATTTTCCCGTCCACATGGCTGACAAACTCATTACAGAAATATTAAAAGAGATATATCAACTGACAAACTCATTACAGAAATATTAAATGACATTAAAATAGTAATTATAACCAATGCATTTATTCGAGATCCAGCCTTGTTTGGGAAATGTTCATTTGTCCAAACGACGACTACTTCTTTCAGGCATGTCAATGCCAGTGTCAGCAGTAAGAAGACTAAAAATGAATACTGGAAGACAGTTGTGAGACTTCTTTTTTTTTTTTTTTACTGTATAGAAACACTACAGATTTTACAAAGTTAGGTATCCCAGTTCTTCAAAGTTTTATTAAGAATAAATCTGGGATGAAGATGATAATAGATCAAGAATCAGGCACTACAATAATTTACATTAATTAACTTTCGATAAATGACAAGTTGTGTGTCAAAAACAACAGTGATTCTTTTTTGTGATTTTACGAAAAAAAAACAACAGTTATTCTTTTTTGTGATTTTACGTTAATATTTCCTGTCTGTCTTCCAACACTAAGCTGAAATCATTGCTCGTACACTGGCTGTTCCACAAAGTGCACTTGAGATGTTATTAGTATTTTCTGTCTGTTTTTCAACAGTCACCTGAAATCATTGCTCGTACACTGACTGTTCCACAAAGTGCACTTGAGATGTTTTGGGTTTTTTTCCTGGTCAGTCTCTCCTGTGTCGGACACTTTACTTGTATGTCCTGTCTTACGTACAAACTGTGTTGTTCCCACATACAAATGGACGCACAAACTGACTCACACACACAGTGGAACAATGGCTTTTACTGTAGCTAATGTGACCCCACTGGGCATCTGAGGGCCTCTATTCACATGGTAATGACCAATCTGTGCTGCCGGACAGATGTCGTCTGAATCATAACCAAAAAAAAAACCAAAACACTCCCTGAATTTGGCTCCCTGACAGACTGTGCTTTAATTTGATCTGGGTTGAAATGGAAAACAACAGCGTGATTATGATTGATGTTTTTTTTTGTTTAAAATGTCGACAGAGAAGTATTGTCAAAAAATGCTTGCACCATGCATCATTTTTATTCTCAGTTCCTCTTTTCTTTATTAAAAATAGATTTCAAGAGCGCTGACATAGTAAAAAAGAAAAAGGTTCCTAAAGATCAATTCCTGCATCTGGCACAAATATTTAGTCATCACACGGTTAACCAATGTCTGTGTCACGTTTAATTGTGTTCAAGGTTTCTTTTTTTAGTGTTTTGCTGTGGCAATATTTTCAGAGCGGGGTTATAAATTTAGAGAAATAAACTAATGTGAAACTGAATTTTGAAATTGAGGTCAGGGAGTAACAGACTATCTGCTGTAAAAATGTCATATTGGAGAAAATAATTAATAATTTATCTAGTGCAGTTAGGAAATGGGCACCTGGACAGACTTGGTTTGTAGAAGACGTTTCACCTCTGATCTAGGAGGCTTCTCAGAAGGAGGTTTTTTTTTTTTAATAAAAGTTAAAACGTCCTCCAGAAACCAAGCAGAATGGAAGAGGTAAACACAGAAAACGTCCTCCATCAGGCTTTAAAAATGACTCTGTTATGGTGGGGAAAAAAAAGAAACGTCGGTGTATATTTTATAAAGACGGGATAAAACCAGTTCTAATCTTAGTTGGTGGCAACAGAGGCGTCGGGGTTTTATTTAAATTCCAGGTGTTTACAGTTGTTCTGTGTGCACACAGTTACTCCAGTATAGACATACATCAGGTCTGAATGGGATCATTATTTCAGTCTGGATGCTAACTGAGGTTGTTGTCAGTGATTGTGTCCCGCCCCCACAGGTATGAGTGGAATTCTAATTGGGTAAGGAATGTGCGGTGAGCCAATGGGGGGTGCTGCGCTGCGCTGTCTGGCTGTAGAACACTCTGTTTAGTCTGTCAGAAAGAGATCTTGTTTGGCCTACATATGTGAGGCCTGTGTGTGTGTGTGTGTGTCTTTGGCAGGGATGCAGACAAAGAGCAGGCAAGTTTGACACTGGTTGACTTTTCAAATTGGGACGTGTTTATGTAGACATTTTTGAGCCGAGCGGAGTCAGATTGTTGTGTCTTCGTGCCTCTACTCCAGTCTCTACTTCGTGAAGCCGACATGAGAAACAGTCAGTGTGTAAGAAGAGTTCTTCAGTTATCCATACTTACAGATGAAGAGATTAGTTTTCACTTTTCACCGTGAGCAGAATCTGGCAAATCTTGTTGAGCAAGATTTACAACGTAATATTTAAAACAGCATCATATGTCAAAAGTCAAAGCCCAAGTCAAAAGACATTGGTTTGTTTATTATGTGGTGACACAAAGAAGAAGAAGAAGAAGAATGCAAACACATGGCGATGTGATGCTGAGAGTGAAATTGGCAGCAAATCAAATCGGTCACTAAAAAGAAAAGCGTCGTCTGTTCCGGTTTAAAGGATCTCCGTGGCTAATGCAGTTGAATGAAAAAGTTAATCAGCAGGATTATGTAAATTCATTCAGGAAAGCAACACGTGTCGTGCTAGCTTTTGTGCCCAGAAGCTGAATGGAACAGACGTTTCTAATCAACACACCACTGTGGCCTGTGTCCGGCGGAGCAGGTGATGAAGACGGTGGTGTGTGAAGAGTTTTTAAAGTAGAACGTGACAATAAAGTGGATTACACAGAAAATAACCCCCTATCTCATCTTCTGCGGTAAATAATTTACTTCTAAATCTGAGTTTATTTTCACTTTATATCACGACTATTTAAAACATTCATGGCATTTGTCTGAGCAGCCGTCGGCCTAATTTATGTGTGTGACAGTATTTTCTTGACATTGTCTTTAAATTATTTACGAAGTACACAGGACTAGAGGGAAACAGTCGGCACACAATATCTGGAATGGCTGGAAATTGGTGCTATTTTTAAGAAAACATAATTATTTTAGTAACTCTCTCCCAAAGGGCTGCAAAAATTAAATGTGTTAATTACATCCATTAATCTGTGATTAAAATCAAAATAAAAATCAAAACATCTCAACAAATGGTGTGAATTGTATTGTTGCTCAGATACACTTTTACGCCCCACATTTCTTTTTTTCACTGAGGCAACTTTAAGGTGGTTTTCTGGAGATTTTGTAAATATGTTAAAATTCCTATTCCTAAAAATATTCCTAAAATCATTTGAATTAATCACAAGCAAAAGCTGTGAAACACATACATCTACCTGCTGTTGTTTCTCTGTTTCAGCAATATATTGAAAAGGATTTTGTTGTGAAAATTAGGACGGCCCCAGGAACAACTTCTATTATTGGACAAAGACAATTCAGAATGTACTGCCTTTGTTTTACTAAGTAACAGAATGCAGCTTTTATTGGCTTCGATTTCAACTAGCTGCAGAGCAGGTCTTATGAGGTATTACTGCGTCACCAAGTTTATCCAGATTTTGACAGTAGATGTGGATGTTTTGACATCCTTTGGTTGTCTCTAGCCGTGGGCCGTTGCTGGAATGTTGCCTCTGACTGTTCAAGAGTTTCTTTTCTTCTTCTTCTTTTTTTTTTCCCAGTTTAATGATGTTGTTAATTCTTCAGCGTTCTCTCACCTCCACTTGAAAGAGCCTGTGGCTTCTTTCTCTAAACACCGACGGCATCTCTGTTGACCAAAGACTTTTAGCTCGGTATCTTCTGACCAGATGAAATGCCTCCACTCTGCGTCATCTGCGTCTGTGTTGGTCAAACATACCTCAGTCTGGCTTGAAGTTGTCCCTTCAGCAGAAACGGGAGTTTTTCTTGGTCTCGCAGAACGTTCCTGCGCAGGACTCGCAGTGACTGTCGGTTCTGACCCTACAATTCCAGACTGGTCTCAGTCATTTATTACTATGTTCTATGCTCACGAAACACATCTGTTACCAGTTTTCTCTCTGCAGTATTTAACATTTTTTTGTTTTACGTCTCTTGCTCTCCAAGCGTCAGCATCTTTAGTTTTTGCAGTGAGTAAATCTAAAAGATCAGTTTAATTATGACTTAATTTTTCAAAGGTGAAGAGCATTACTGTTTTAACTCGTGTTAACTCGATGTGCTTACATCTAATCTGTAAGTTAGTGGGTCTTAATCTTTGACTGTGCACGTGACTCTCGCTGATACACTACTGGCCGGGACAGACTTTTCTTTTCCTCTTCTTTAAGGTGTTTCCAGTGATCACTGGAGACTGATTCAACAGAATCTCCCTTCAGCTCTTCACAGATTGTCTTTTTTACAGGGCTCATAAATGCCAAGAAAGAAAGTCTCCAGAAACAGCTGAGCTGTGGATGTGTGTGTGTGTGTGTTCTTTCACCAGCCGTGACTTTGGCAGAGTGAAGGATTTCCTGAGATCTAGTGAGAGGCCCTGTCACACATGCGAGCGCCGCTGAAGAGTCGAGAAGTAGACCGTGATTGAAATGGGTGGAGGTAAAAATGTAGGGGTGTAGGCTGAGTGTGTGTGTGTGTGTGTGTGTAGAAGAAAATTGAGCTGAAAGGGACAGAGAATGTCCTCCTGCTGCTCGGAGCTATGTGACAGGGGCAAATAAGAAACCCGATCCCATCCCTCCGCTGCTGTCTTTCCTTTATTGTGCATGTGAAGAAAGGATGAGGTCTTGGTGTGGAATGTGTGAGTCAAAGGGAGGAGGAGGACTCAAAGGAGGAAGAGGAAAGGATATCCTGCAGCCATTCTCCATGGGTTAATCACAGGAAATAGACCAGGCTGCACCAGACACATCCACAGCACCGCCGTCACCACATCCTCAACCACCACAGCTGACTGACTGACTGACTGACTTCCCAGATGGCTGTCATGGCCAAAGTAAATTATGCCTGATTTTAATTGCATCTCAGAGCAGTAATTATGTGTTAAAATTGGGTGAAAATGAAAAAGAACTGCATTGTTCTCCAGACAGTAACTGACCTCCAGTTTCTGACGTGACCTTTCTCACTTCTGGAAGGACCAGCTCTGACATTTAGACCAATATGTTTGTTCCTCTTTACGATGGATGTTTTGATAAATGTGACTAATTCTGTGGAGGAAAATGTAGAAATTGAGCTTTTTAAAATGTTTTGATTTTTTTTTTTCCTACAAGAAGACAGTAATTTTAATGTAATAATGCAGTCCAAACACCAAAATAATATGAACACAAAATGGTCAAATAAGGAAGCCCTGTGTCTTTTTATGTCTTTTCTAAGAAGGGATGTGCAAATACCGGTGCTGGTGTCGGTATGAAGCGCGATACTTTACTGAATTACTCATACTTGTACTCAGTAATGACTTTGCACTACAACCAGCTGCGTCCCACACAGTTTTGGGGACATTTTTAAACCGATTTAACTGGAAATGAAATGATCTTTGTCACATTAGTATAAGTACACACACACACACATTTGAAGGACTCCAGCTTCACTCCAGTGGTTAGCGACACTCAAATGTCCACATCAGACACATCAAACCAAGCGATGGTCTTGTTTTGTCCACAGCGTCCTGTAATCAGGACAGGGGACATGACCGTGTGGTGGTTTGGTCTGTGTTGTGTTGTTCTGTTTTCTTACCAGCAGAGTTGGCCTGGAGTGACATATGCCCACTGTTGCACCACCACACAGACTGTCTGGCAAACAAACACACTCACCCACATACACACACACACACACAAACAAACAATCGCACACACACACACAAACCAAATGCTTTGCGCAGACTTCCAAACCCACATCGCGTTGGTCAGTTTAAAGCTTTTCCTTGAATCCACACAAGTGATGTGGCAGTGAAGGCATTCTGCCACTCTCTCTGTGGGCGGCCTGTATGTCAGCTTCTGTGTGTGTGTGTGTGTGAGTGTGTGTGTGTGTTGGTGCGTGCACTGTTACTGACACTGGCCTGTACTTTACTGTCTGAGAATCACGTCAGTTTTCCTGCTCATTACCATCGTCAGGCATTCATATATTATCCCTGACAGGATTCTTCCTCCTCACATGTTTCAATCCATTTGTATCAACCTACACACACACACACACACACACACACACACACACAGCGGGATCATTTACATATTTGTAGCAGAGCTTTGTTTTTTAATGCTGCCCCCGTTTGTCTTCTTTTGCAGTATTATGTGCCAAGAATCTCGCAAAGAAAGACTTCTTTCGTAAGTACATGTGCAGTTTTTCATTTGCATTAATCCGTGTGTGTGTGTGTGTGTGTGTGTGTGTGTGTGTGTGTGTGTGTGTGAGGTGTGCTAATGAGTGGCCGACGGGTTTCATCAAAGACCGCTGCCTGTGTGTGTTTGTGTGCGTTTTCAAAGACAGCATTGTGTACAAATTGGCACTGGTGGCGCTCAGTCACTGCGCTGTGATTATGCTGCGCATCATCGATGTTTTCACAGCACAGGAGGATGAGTGACCACCTGTAATTACACTGTAATGACCAGGACAATAACAACGACATTTTTCATTATTTTGTTTTTCCCTTCAGGCAGTATAGACTCCAGTTACTGATCTATCTTTAGACTTTTGACTCAGAGCTTGAGTGGAAATGCATCTCCTTTAAAGTGACAATAAATCAGTTGTTTGTAAATGATTTTATTTAGACTGTAAGGCTCGACCTTTTCACTCACTCCTTCTCTGATGTACTGCAGGTCTGCCAGATCCATTTGCCAAAGTGGTGGTAGACGGATCAGGTCAGTGTCACTCGACAGACACAGTCAAGAGCACATTGGATCCCAAATGGAATCAGCACTATGACCTGTGAGTGTCCAGCGACTCAGCCTGCAGCTGCTCTTTTTGTTTTATTTCCGTTCTTCTACTCATTTCACTGGTGAAGCAACTTGTTTCATACTGTTATTTGTACTTCACAGTTATATCGGGAAGACGGACTCCATCACCATTAGTATATGGAATCACAAAAAGATCCATAAACGACAGGGGGCCGGCTTCTTGGGCTGCATACGTCTTCTTTCCAATGCCATCAGCAGGCTAAAAGACACAGGATGTAGGTCTTTGTTTTCTTTTCTTTTCTGGAGAAATTCACACGATCCCTCAAACACTGCTGAGTGTCATGTCTTTTTCGATGGTTAGTTTTGACGTCCAGTTATGTTTTTAGAAAAAAAAATGTATTTCTCTTCTCCTCTTTTTGATGTTTTTAGAAAAATGTATTTCTCTTCTCCTCTTTTTCCAGACCAGCGTTTAGATCTATGTAAACTGAATCCCTCAGACAGTGATGCAGTGCGGGGGCAGATTGTTGGTAAGCACAGACACACACACACACACACACTCACCTTTACACGCTTCTTCTAATATTTATTCCACCCTCCCTGACCTTTACCACCTGCTTTCTTTCCAGTGAGCTTACAGACGAGGGACCGCATCGGCAGCGGAGGCCCCGTGGTCGACTGCAGAGGACTGTTGGAAAATGATGGGTGAGTGTGTTCCCAAACACTATACTGTTTGTTTCATTTATGTTCCGTGGCTTTTTTTTTTTTTTTCTACATTGTGGAAAAAATACTTCTGGTTCAGAAGCGCTCCAGTCATCTACTTAACGGTGTGTGTTTTTTTTTTTTTTTTCTCCCCAGGCCTGTGTTACAGGGATGTTTCAGTGAAGAGCCGCTGCCTTACTCTGACCCCACTGGCGCTGCAGGTGGCGGTAATTGTCGACTGGACTCCCCCAGTCAGGAGGGCCGTCTTCAGAGCCAGCGAATCAGAGGGCAGGACACTAGAGGTCATGGCCACACCCCTCAAAACAGACCTCATGGGAACCAGCAGCCAGATCTCCCTGAGGGATACGGTCAGTAACTCACTGATCCAGTGTTACTGTTAATATTTGACACTGTATGCTAATGTAACCTACTTCTCCTAAACAAACCAGAACAACGAACGACGGTCCAGGGCCAGGTGTACTTCCTTCATACGCAGACGGGCGTCAGTACCTGGCATGACCCCCGGATACCACGGTACGGTTGAATCTCAACTAGTTCCTTGTCCTAGTAAACAGAAGAGGAGCGACACCACCGTCTCTCACCACTGTGTTCTGGGCCTGTTGTAGGGATTTGGCCAGTGTGAGCTGCGAGGAGCTCGGACCTCTGCCCGTGGGCTGGGAGGTCAGGAGCACCGTGTCGGGTCGCATCTACTTTGTGGACCACAACAACAGAACAACACAATTCACAGACCCACGTCTACACACCATCATTAGGTACAAGAACACACACACACACAGAATTACCCGTCATTTTCTTTCAACTCATCTGCCAGTTCTCTAGCTCATCATTCGCTCTCTCTCCCTTCCCTCCCTCTGTCCTACAGCCAGCAATCTCAAGTAAAAGAATCCTCCCAAACCCCCCAGATGGACGTGGGGGGTGAGGATGGGGGAGGTGGTGGAGTGGGTGGCAGCAGCGGTGGCGGAGATGGTGACATGGCGGCACGTTACGAGAGAGACCTGGTGCATAAGCTGAAGCTGCTTCGGCACGAGCTCTCCCTGCAGCAGCCTCAGGCGGGACACTGTCGCATCGAGGTGTCACGAGAGGAGATCTTTGAGGTCGGTGCTGGAGGAACATAAAACTGTTCATGGCATTAAAAAAAAAAAACAACCTCTTTGCAGGTCGTCAGTGATTAGAGCTGTGTTTAAGATCATTAGGTGTTTTTCTCGTAACATGTTCTAATGTAACCTGAAGGGAGGTGTCTGATGTTTTGTATCGTGCCCTGTAGGAGTCCTACCGGCAAATAATGAAGATGAGACCCAAAGACTTGAAGAAGAGGCTGATGGTGAAGTTCAGGGGGGAAGAGGGCCTGGACTACGGCGGGGTGGCCAGGTAATCCATCTACAGGGTTTAAGAGGAGATTTAATCCATACATTTTCACGTTGACCTGATGGATTTTCTGTCCGTCCTTAAATATGATCTGACTCAAAATTCTGAGCAATGATTGTTATGTTAATTCTAATTTAAATCTGGAAATCTATACTTCTGTTCACTTAGTGTTCATTGGTGTATCTTTGTAAAACATTTTTGTCTGTACATATTTGTCGTCACAGTAAACACATAACTTCCTGATAGAAAACAAACCAAATGAGTCAGGCTCAACAGGTTTTCCCCCATGTCTGTTTGAATTTTTGTGCCTGTAGAACATTGTTTTCATAGTTTTGTTTCTTTTGGGAAATACTGTATGCTATACTTTGGTTTCCCCCTCCAGACCACTACAGAGACGACTACGACTACTTTTGCTAATGTTTGTCAACCGTCATGATTTTTTTTTTTTTTTTTTAACCCTGTGCTGGTTTTCTGCAGGGAGTGGCTGTACCTGCTGTGCCACGAAATGTTGAATCCTTATTATGGCCTGTTTCAGTACTCCACAGACAATATCTACACACTACAGATCAACCCTGACTCCTCCATCAACCCTGTGAGTGGTCACACACACACACACACGCACACACAAAGTTACAGACACGCTGTAACGACTTTGTTGTTCCTGTTTTTCAGGACCATCTGTCATATTTCCATTTTGTGGGTCGTGTCATGGGCCTGGCAGTTTTTCACGGTCACTACATCAACGGCAGCTTCACGTTGCCCTTTTACAAACAGCTGCTGGGCAAACCAATCCAGCTGAACGACCTGGAGACCACTGACCCCGAGTTGCACAAGAGCCTCGTCTGGATATTGTGAGCAAATTTCTGCACTGGGAAAACAAAATACTGACAGGTTTTTCTAACAGTAATATTTTGTTTTACAATTATCCTCCTCCTGAAATTGGATTTTTTTTTCACAATTTTCCTCCTCCTGAAATTGGATTCTTGTTGTGATCTTCTCAGAGAGAACGACATCACCTCAGTTCTCGACCATACGTTCTGCGTGGAGCACAATGCCTTTGGGAAGTTCTCCCAACACGAACTCAAACCTAACGGGCGTAATATCCCTGTTACTGAAGAGAACAAGAAGGAATATGTGAGGTGAGAACGGCCGGACTGTCGTACCCTGTGGTACAGCACTGTATTCTATAGCGGTGTATTTATTTGTGTGTTGTGTGTGTCTTTGTCTTCTTCAGACTTTATGTGAACTGGAGATTCATGCGAGGGATTGAAGCCCAGTTTCTGGCTCTGCAGAAGGGATTCAGTGAACTTATCCCTCAGCACCTCCTCAAACCCTTTGACCATAAAGAACTTGAGGTACATGTGATGTAGGAAATACTGACTCACAGTAACGGTACTGGAATTTATTAGAGTCACTGTGGCTCACCTGTACTGGTCTCCTCACTTTTCGTCCAGCTGATCATCGGTGGACTCGGGAAGATTGATCTGGCGGACTGGAAAACAAACACACGACTAAAACACTGCACAAGCGAAAGCAACGTGGTGCGGTGGTTCTGGCAGGCGGTGGAGGCTTTCAGTGAGGAGAGGAGAGGGCGCCTCCTCCAGTTCGTCACAGGCTCCACCAGAGTCCCACTACAGGGGTTCAAAGCACTGCAGGGTGGGTCAGGCACTGGTTCACAGACCAGAGACGCACACGCTTAGAGTAGTCTAGTCTAAGTTTAAAAACCAGTGATTCTCAGACTTTTTACAGCGTTTACCGCAGCAGCAGGTGTGATGTGAAATGCTTTGTGAACCAGAATTGAGCAGTGATAACTAGAATGTATGTGTGTAAGGCTCTACAGGTTCTGCAGGACCAAGGCTCTTCACCATACACCTGATAGACGCCAACACAGATAATCTGCCCAAGGCTCACACGTGGTAAGAACAGCAGAGAAACAGAAATGCCTTTCGTGTTCAGCATTTGTGTCGGACCTTGAGTTGTTATTGAAGTCTTTGTTCTTTTTCCTCTTTGTCCAGTTTCAACAGAATAGACATCCCGCCGTACGAGTCTTACGAGAAGCTCTACGAGAAACTGCTGACGGCCGTGGAGGAGACCTGCGGCTTCGCTGTGGAGTGATGAACCCACGACCGGGACGGCAGACGGAACACATGCACACGACTATTTGACATTTTAATATATGAACACACGTAAACAAAATATCACGTATACAGAGAGTATACAGAGCAGCCAAGCATTACAAAGAACACAGACTCTCACACACACCGTCTCTTGCCACCTCTGCACCACCCAGCTGCTGGGGGGGGTTAAACGAGGAAGCACAGCAGGAGGGGGCGGGGCATTTTAAAAAACTTTTTCAAATGTTTTGAAGAAGCATTTTTATCCTTCAGTTTTAAACAAGCTACGATGTCATTCTTCAGAACATCTGACCCGCAACATCGAGTTCAACTCCGGTCGCACTTGACTCTCCGGACAGAATCAAAAAAAAAAAACCCTACATGAGCCTGGGAACAAGAGGCGTTGAATCTCGATGTGTGACGATCACGCAGAGGAGCAGTTCTCTTTCTGACAAGCAGAATGATTGACTTGTGTTCATGCTTCATGTTTAACCACTGTGGTGTGTGTGTGTGTGAATGGATGGGTGTGCGTGTGTGTGGCCTTTTGTCATTGTGAAGACGAAATTGTGGATCAAAACTTAACACAAGAACATTTTGCCCTGTCCTTAGTGACAAGCACCTTTTAAATGAATCATTTAATCGGAGCTATTTTAAGATTAAAATAAAGACTAATCTAGGGTTGGTCACAGACAGAACCTTCCCTCGGCACGTGATTGGCAGAAGGCAGCTGCTAAAGAAGAAATATTCAGCCAGTGAAAAGGTCACTCACTGTGTCCTTATTTACCAAAAATGCGATGGCCCTCCGACCAATTAGAGACCAGTACTCGGAGGCTACTGTGGAAACTCTAACAGCAATAAGATACAGCACTCAAACCGGAACTACTTTCCAAAAAACCAACAATACTGGCTGTGCTATAGTTAAAAAAAAAAAGTTTTGCACCGAGGCTGTGTTACTGTGATGAAACATTTGTCTCCTCCTGATGAAACTTCCCTTTAGGCTTAAGGGCTGGGGAATGTGTGAGTGTCCTCACAACAATGGAACGGTGTGCGCTCTTCTGGATGTGAGTGTGTGAGTGTCGGGCACGGTGCACAGTTACGCTGTTAAAAAAAAACAATGATCAAATGAGCCTGCTCCTCTTGTTTGGTTACTTTTTTTTTGTCTCTTCAGTTTGTACCTGCGACCACTCTGATCCATTCTTATTTTATTATTTATTACTAAGTGATAACAGACCAAGCTGCTACAGGCTCCACCCAGAGCTGACACTAATAACTTCATCAGCCCCCTCTTACCCGACTTGAAGGGTCAGTTCACTTGGAAGTCAAGTAATCCACAAAGTGGGTTTTAATCGAATTATGTTACAATTTTTTTTAACATTCATGTTTTTTCGGTGTAATATGTTGTCAATGTATGAAAACTGTAGGTTTGTTTGTGTTTTTAATACCGCGTTACAGTAACAGAAGTGAGGGGACATTGATTTTACCAAACCCTAATTTTTTTTATTTTATTTTTTATAAATCTAACATTACTGACGTTATTTTAAGGACGACTGACGATACAACCAGGATGGAAAGGAAACGTCTGCTTCAGGAGTTCTTTGGGTTTTTTTATTTAAAGATTTGTAATAAACTCTCATAAGCCTTTTTATACACAATTAATCATCCATTTTACCATCCTTTGGTTCTCTGTGCCCCTCGTTTTTTTATTTTTTTTTCCATTGCTCCATAGACTAATCTTTAACCCTCCATCCTCCTCCTCACGACCACCCTGAATGAACAAAGTCTCTTAAGTCAGTAATTCCCTACAAAAGTGAATAAAATACAAACTACATTTTAAAGTAAGTGATATGGAAAAACCTTGAGATTGGTTGTAGATCGAAAGCTGTTCAGCAGTATTTCAATCTGCCTTTTTTAGGTTCTGAGTTCATTGTGTAATGGATGCAAGAGTATTGTATCTTACTATGTAGTAAACATTTATGGAAAAATACAGTGTAAATAAGATTATATTAAAGAAAACTACGTTGAAAATACATGCCGAGGTCCAGGAGTATGTTTTTATGTGTCTGTCTGTGTGCGATTGTGTTTCAACTGAGGTTTTACATGTTGTTATTGGAGTAAAAAGAAAATCAAATAAAAAATTGAATTTGTGTTTAGTCATCAAATAACTATAGTAAATGTATGTTCTAAATCTTGTCCAAGCAGGAAATATCGTCATCTGACAGCACAAGGGAGTCACGTTCGAGGGGCACCTATGGTACATCTTAATACTGCCACCTACTGGTTTAAAGGTTATCTTCTAGGATTAGAAAAACATGGAAAATAAAAATAGATCAGCGTAACAGCAGATGAATACATCACCCATACATTCAAATACATGTTGTATATATATAACCCCCTTTTTTTACTTTGAAACTGAGTAGTGAAGTATCAGATCATAGTAGTATTGTTTATAAAAGACATTAGTTCCAAGTGTCTTTAAATACGTTCATCTTTGATAGTCAAACATCCATCATCGAAGTCATGAAATTCACAAACCCCCTAACGGAACTCTTACTGTTTTGTAAACCGCGGATCCAAAAACTGTGGTCGGCTGGGAACGAGGGTAGGACCACATTTCCCAGAAGACCACGGGCCTACGCTGCCAAAGCCATTGTGCGTGTGACGTTGATGCTGGTCTTGTTTTGGCAGTTTGTTTCGTTATTCTCGCTTATCAGTCCACCAAGAAGCATTGACAGTGTGATTCGTCGACTCCAAGTTCTGGTATTGTATTGTTTTTGCACATTTTCTTCCCCCACACAAGCGTTAAATGTGTTTATTGAAAGGCATGTTGTGGGGAAAAAATGCCCTCACTTACTGAGCTAAGGAGTGAGTTGCCCTCCTGGCTAGCTAGCTAGCCTTAGCTTAGCAGGGAGCAGTGGTTTGTTGTGGGCTTTGGGTTTAAGCGGAAATGTTCATTTGTTGCTGTGATTGTGATTTTTCCTTTCGATCACGGCTTCCTTAATCTGAAGCTTATAGTTGTTATTCAGTGTTTACCGGTGATCTGTTGATCAAGCCAACATTTATGCAGCTTGTTCATTAATACCATGGCAGAATCTGACGTTCCTGTTCTGCGAAATTAATTATTTTAAATTAAGTCCTGAGGAGAGTTAGTCTGCGGCTGCAACAGATTCAGAGGAAGTCTGTTATTGCTGTAGTGTGCAGTGAATATGTTAATACACAGCTAAAGAAACACACAGAATCGGTTTTAATGTGCAGTGTTGGGGTGTTTGTTTAAAAAATATACCAACCTGGCGGATGTTCCTGGTTCACTTTAAAGAGTGGTTTTACTGCTGCTCGGGTTAAGACATTATGGGAGCCAGTAAATGGCTCTAATAGAAGTTAAGAACCCAGTGTTTTGTTATGAAATCTAAGGAAAGTCTGATGATGTGGTGGTTTAGACAGAACATGTTTTTGTGTCTTTTAATTTGAAGCATGTGTTCTTCCTAATTGGACTGCAAATATGAAAATACAAGTATAGAAGTTAATCTTTGACAACAAAAATGAGCAAGAAATTAGGCCAAATGTTCAATGGGATGCACTGATGCAGCAGAGGAGGACCAAGTGTCTGTTTAATTAATCTTTACCACCTGCAGAAAGCAGAGGAGGACCAAGTGTTTAATTAATCTTTACCACCTGCAGAAAGATACAATGTAAAGAACCATCTAGACTTCAACTGTGGATGTGTAGAGATAAGCAGTGTGAATGCTACTTTGTGTGGGCCCAGATACTCCATCTTCGGGTGTGGAACTCCCATTGAAGACGAGTGTCCTTGAATTTCCAGAGAAAGTCAACACTCGGTCCACCGTTTGTGACGACTGAATCACATTAAAAACCAGGATGAGGTTGTGAGAGGCTTAGTAGATGCTTATCTGGTGTCACTTCCTTAGTTTAGTGCCGTCTTTCAAAGAATGTTGGAAATGTTAATGCCTCAGTGAAGGGTTTGAACTGTCACCTTTAATGTTTTAAAGTGATTTCATGTCTGTGTGTGTCAGATGGCACTGATGGAGCTGTGACCTTTGTCTGGTGGTCTTAAGGAGCTGGGGTAAGTGTAGCTTCACGATGGCAGACGGCGGCAGTGACGATGAGGTCATTCATCTGGCGAGTTTCAACGTCCACCGCAGTCAACGTGAGACACAAAACACACACAGTGCATGCACCTCATTTAAGATTCAGTGTTAAGTGTGTGACATCCTGCTGCAGAAAACTTTGACCAGAGTCCTTGAATTTAGAGACATTTCTCAAATGATTTTCATCAAAACAAATCATATATAAAATGCATGTGAAGTTTGCATCTTTTTTAACTATTGTAAAACCAAAAATATATATGGGCTGATGAGTGTGAAAGGTTGTAACACTTCCTTATCGCTGTGTGCAGAAAATTAGTGTCAGACTGGTGTGAATTTGGTCCATGTTTATGATTTAGGAAATAAACCAATTTGGAAACGTCTCGTCTGGAAATGCAGCCGTGTGTTATGTTTAAATTTAAAAGTTAACCGTTAACCGTGATGACCAATCAAATTATTAGTTGCAATGTATGTGTAAGGATTATAAGGCAGACAGTAGCCCTACATTTAGTGTAGTGATGTAATCAAAGCTGAATTGTCACATTCTTATAACATTTCGACTTAACTGTTGTACATTCCCATTTGTTATTTTCTATTTCACAAATTCTGAATATTTGAAACTAGTTTCCTCTTTGTTAATGTGCTCTAATTTGCTTCCTGTTAAGGCCGGTCTGCCAAGAAGAGGGTGCTCATCACCATTTCAGATGACTCAAATGATTCAGATGAGGAGCCCATGATCTTTATTCCTGGCAGTCCAGTTTTAGTTCCAGATGATGGTGAAGACGATGACATCAGCATACTGGAGGTAAACGACTCGTAAACGACACGTTGTTTTAATATCACATTTTCATTGCTGAAAACTCAAATGGATGGTTTCAGTTCTTCTTTTCTTTTCTTTTTTTTTTGCCCAGTCATGGTTTTCAAAAATCTGTTGAGCTGCACAAAAACCCTCTCTTTGTCATTTTCTGCTGCCCTTTTATTGTGTGCCATACATTTTCAATCCAAGACACGTCTGGACTGCAGCCAGGCCCATGATCTCTGTCTACAGAGCCACATTACTGTAATTTGTCATTAAATTCCTACAATAAAGTCGTTCACAGTAGCTTTTTTAATTATGCAAGACATTTGCCAAGGTGGTGGAGATGACACACATTTAGCATCAGTTTCTTTGTCTTCAGGAAGTCCCTGTTTTCATGAATGTTATATAAATATTAACTGTGGACATTGATCCTTTGCCATCAAATATTTTTATAATAATAATGGATTATTCTTAGTTCAGCACAAAGTGTTAAGCCATGACCTATTTATCATTTTTTTTCCTCATGTTTTATTGGTCGTTTTCTCTCTTACATTTTTTCCTGCAGCATCAAGTTCCTCCACAAAGACTTTTGATCCGACCAGCAGCCAAATGGGGCACGGTTTCTTCCAGACTGAGTCAAACTGTAAGTTCCTCTAGTCAAACAGCTGTGATCCCCGCAGTCAATCCAAGCCTGGCCCCATCTACCTCCAGACATGCCACTGCCAGCTCCACTGTAGCAGAGACAGCCACACGGACTGAAACAGCAGTGCAGCCCGGCACCTCTGGAGACACACAGCCACAGCCTGGCTCTTCTTCTTCTAACGCAGTGACTCAAAACTCATCGAAACCTGACGTAACGTCGCAACAGGACAGTACGTTAACCAATCAAAATGTGGAGCTTCAAGCAGTTTCTACTGTTCAAAACACATCTACCTCCACAACAGCAACGGCTGAGGAGAGCTTAGGCCAAGCAACTCCAGGAGCCTTTCACGCTCAGCCCAGTGCCCCCGGAGCCTCATCCGAACCGAGAGCTGGCTGTTCTGCACAGATACCAGTGAGGACGACTGCGTGCAGCTCTGCCCGTGCCACACATTACTCTGGTGCAGCTACAGCAAGTGTTGCAACGATGACAAAGACAGAAGAGCGGGCGGGTCCGAGCTCTGACTCACAGGACAATCCTCAGGCTAGCACATCGTCTGCACACGCACAGCCTCAGCCAGGTACATCATCGCAGCCTCCCTCCAGCGGAGCTACAAACTTCCTACAGGTAAAAGCACTGAAGCCATTTGTTCTTCAGCAAAAGCCAACGTTTCAGGTCTCTACTCTAGTGACCCAGCGCCAGTGGCAGCCTCGGGCCCACAACCAGGTGCAGTTCGTTTCATCCCACCAAATGCAGGGCAATCTTATTCAGATTGAACCACAGCCCCTGGCCCAGGCCCCTGCCCAACCCCCGGTCCAGGCAGCACAACCCCCCCAGGCGATGCTCGTCAACTCCCACACAGTGCTTATAGCTGCAGCCCCAGAGAGACTTGGACCTCTGGAACCTGGCCACCGGATTGTTCTGGGGAGCCAGGTTCCCGGGGAGGCTGAGCCCATGCCTCCCCCACAGGCCGGCGTCTCCGGTGTTGCCCCAGCAGTGCTCGGCTTTAACATCATGGCACCTCACGTCATCTCCAACCCCATCGTTCCGCCTGCTTCGACAGCCTCGGTCCCTGACAACAGAGGAGAGGCTCGTCTCATCACAGCGCCAAACCCAGAGAGGGTCACCCCACTGCTGGAGGTCGTGGCAGTCCCTCGGGCCCTGGAGGCCATTCCCCAAATCGAAGATGCAAGACCTGGACCCTCTGGAGGAATGCAGCTACCCCCCCACATCAGAGGCCCTATCACTGTGGTTGTAAGTAACACGTACGGCTTTTATCAAGTGATTTACAATAAAACGGAATTAAAAATGTAAAACACACCAGATATTGTTAAATCATCTGAACGTCTCCTAATTCACTGTAAACCGTATAAACGTCTGGTTGTTGACCAATCCTAAGTTCTTGGTGTTTTGTCTCGTGTGTCTCAGAGATACTGCATGCATCATGAATGGCTCTGTACTCTGTACTCTGTACTCTGTACTCTGTACTCTGTACTCTGTACTCTGTACTCTTTTCTCTGTGTGAATGAATAGATGAACAGATACATCTTCACTTCTGTCAACTCTCCTGTGTTTCCCCCGCAGCTGGATCTGTTCCCAGACGTTCAGGAAGCCTATGTAGCAGAACTGATGCAGAAGAATAATGTGAAAGACGTGAATGTGTAAGAACAGCTGAATATAAAACATCTCAAGAAACATATGAGATGACTTTTTTTTGTCTGTTCAAAATGTACCTCAAGAAGGATATAACAGTTCAGTGTGATCCTGTTGACCCGTTGGTTTCCAGTATCTGTAACCTGCTGTTGGAGAATCCAGACTACCCCAGGAGAGAGACTGCAGCAGTGGCCGCTGCAGCTCCGAGCAGCATCCTGCTGGAGTCTGGAAACACCCAGACAGACGTGAGTCAGTCAGTTTGTCAAAGCAGCGGTGTGTCATCGTGCACGTCCACCGGTCATTTGTTTACAATGGCTTAAAAAAAAAAAAAACTCCAACAAATTCCGTGTCCCTCTCAGGTGGCCGAGGATCTGTTTGACTACGCCAAGCTGGGCACGGTGGGACTGGAGGCTGTGATGCAGGCTGCAGATCTGCTCATGTCAGATTTCAGGATGCTGAGCTGTCAGGACATCAAATGGGCCCTCAACGCCATGAAGGGACACTATGCAATAACACGCAAGGTACGAGCGGCGGCGTCGCTGGAGCTCTTCACCTACTCCTGCTTCTGTGTGTCCCAGTTTTCACCCAATCACTCCCCCCGCCCTCCTTCCTCTTTTTCTCCATCTCACCCAGGCCTTATGTGAAGCTCTGAAGAAGTGGCAGGACGCATGCGACCCCTCAGGGAAGAGACGACGGAGCAGAACCTCGTCTGAGCGATGTTACATTGATTTTTATTTTGAACACGGTCGGCACCCGTCTACCTTTTTTTAACCACTTTCTCCATTTTAACTATTCCAGGTTTCCTTATCACCTTCTTTACTTTTCTGTCTCGAAGGATCAGTGAAGTTGACCAGGAGGATGTATTTCCTGGAGAACGATCGCCGCTACTGCAGAACGTACAACAGTCTGGAAGCCTCTGTGCAGAAGGAGTTGGTGTTCTATCAACAGAAGGCCAAGGAATGGGCTGAGGTAAAAATAAAAAATAAAAAACAAACAGTCAGGAGTTGGAGAATGATTTTGTCTTGTGTTTTCAACGTTGATTTTGCAGTTTTACATGTAAGAGTTCAGTCATTCACTCTCTGTTCTTTTCCTTCTCCTTCTTTTTTTTCAGCATGAAGACTTCCTTCTGGCTCTGCAGGTCAATGAAGATGAATATAAGAAGGTAGAAACACAAACAAACACACACACAAACATACCTGTTGTAAACACATTTAAAGTTTAGCTACCGGGTCACATCAATTGTTGAAATTCTTCTGTCAGGACGGTCAGCTGATAGAGTGCGGCTGCTGCTACGGAGAGTTTGCCTTTGAGAAGATGACGCAGTGCTCAGACGGTCACCTCTTCTGTAAGGAGTGTCTGGTCAAGTACGCCCAGGAGGCAGTGTTCGGCTCCGGAAGGGTACAGTTTGACATTTTTATAATGACTGTTTCACCGCTTATGTTACACAAACCCAGGTTTTATTTTGGTGGTGTAGTTTTCTACAAACTCCTCATAAATTTCCAAAGTTTTTTTAAAGCTATATTACCTTTATAATATATGAAAACAGTGTTTTGTGAATTATTATTCTGTAGTAGCAGTTATTGCATTTATTAATGTCTATGACTTCTTTATGAATAACAGGCAGCAGCAGCAATCAAGAAATAATGAATTCAGTCCAATAAAAGTGTCATGGAGTGAATCAGCTCTCTGGGTCTGGATCATTTTCTTATGCCGTTTAGCGGAAACCAGACCAGAGCAGATTGAATTACATCTGTACCAGAGACAACATGTCTGTTTGTGATTATTTGTGTTTAAAGGTGTGTTGTCCTTGTGTTTTTTCTTTTGCAGTCAGAGCTGAGCTGCATTGAGGGCGGCTGCCTCTGTTCTTATCCAGTGTGTGAGCTGGAGAAGGTTCTGCCAGAGAACATACTGTGTAAATACTACGAGCGGCAGGCAGAGGAGGCCGTGGCTGCCACCTGTGCCGATGAACTCGTCCGGTAAGTGTGTGTGCATTTATTCTTGTTTCACCCAGCTGCTCACGGATGATTCAGCACAAGAAAAAGACGAGTCACGTTTATATATCTATATATGTGTCTGTGCTGCACCCCAGAGATTTACACCAGGCTTTGTGTTTTATCCACAGACCTCATTTAAATTTCTGGTGTTGCTCAACTTCCACCATGTTTTTTTGTGTGTGTGTGTCCAGAATGTGTATTGCTCTGTGCAGTTTTGTCTGTCAGCTATATATATTTTATCATGTAGGTCTTTTATAAGTGAACATTCCTCACGTCCTCCCACTGTGAGTCATCAACCTCCCCTCTGATTTTCACAGGTGTCCATTCTGCAACTTCCCAGCCCTGTTGGACAAACACATGTCTCTGTTCAGCTGCCCCAACCCTCGCTGTCGCAAGGTCAGTCCACCTGTCTCTCTCTCTCTCTCTCTCTTGTCTCCCGTCTCCTGTGGTAACAACAGGACTGAGGCTGAGAAATAAAGAATGGATCAGAGTTGAGGGGGATCAGTTTTTGTTGATAAAAAGGTTCAGTCCAGTGAGATCTCCACCTCCTCTGTGTTTATCTGTGCACCTCCTCCCTCTGTCTGAGGAATGCTGGGGGAGACGGTGAGTGTAGGTTTGGCCTCTGAATGACTTGTCGAGGCAGTAAATGATGACGGCAGGACTGTCAAAGTCAACCTGTTAACGGCTTTAATATATTTAGTTTTGATGTGAATCTGATGTGGTTCATGTCCATGAACTCCCTGTATGTGAACAACAACAACAACAACAACAACAACAGCCCTTCCTGAGGAGAAAACTGTTACTACTTCAAGGTTAAAACCTCGGCTCATATCTGTGGGTTTTTTTTTTTTCTTCCTACTGATAATCCACCTGGACGTGTTCACTCACTTCCTGAACAGTGTGAGACTTTTTTCCTCCTTTATCTCCCTGGGTTTGGTGTCACCCTACCCTCCCGGTTGCTGTCAGGCCGCTCAGATAATATTTGTCTTTAAAAAAAAAAAACATTTAAAAGTCGTTCACAAAATGTAATGTTCTTGTTCTTAGCCACGAGGAGTCAGGCTGATGAATGAACACATGACGACAACTATCAGATAAACCGGTGTGAAATGGTGTGATTACAGCTAATAGTGTTGTTTTTGGCTGGGTTGGGTTTTTTGGGGGGGTTTTTTCATTCATTTTACCTGCAGTAATGTCCGTTGAACTGTAGGTGGAGCCCGTGTTCCATAAAGCCTGCCTGGAAACACAGTTTATGCATCTGATCTTAATTACATCCGAACACACACACCCATATATGTATGTGTGTGTGTGTGTGTATATATATTTATATATATATATATCAGACATGTGAGTTTTTAAGCTTTTTTTATTATTTGATTTCCATCATCTGCTGCAGGTCAAATCTGAAAGGCCAGTCCATTTTTGAGGATGATGACTCTCAGACATGTGAGTGTAGCAGAGTTAATGTCAGTGAGTCAGCGTTTTACCAACATGGGTGTAGTTTTATATAAAGATTTTGAGTGTTTTACTACAATACTATCACCGTGAGCATGGCTGAGCACAGAGCCCACTCAGGGTGCAGGTAGGGAGGGGCTTCATTATGTAACTGACACACTTCCTTGAACCATCGGGTCTTCTTCTTCCATGCTGCCGTCTGATTGGCTGCTGGTAACTTTCCACTCCCCCCCCGCACCTTCACTCTCACATTTGTTTTTAAAGGTGGTTCAAATCAAACCTGACCCAGATATTTTTTTTCCTCCTCTTTCTCTTATTGTTCCCTCAGCTCCGCTCTGACTGACTCAAACCAACACACACACACAACACACAACACACACACACCGTGATATCAAATGTATTCCACATGTGCTTCGGTGCCTTGTTTATGTCCTGTGTGTATGTAGGCCCCTGAGATGGTCCTACAGTGCAAACAAGAGCTGGACCTGAGCAGCACTGAGTGTTTCTGCTGCTTCTGGTTGCATTTTGTGCATTATCACATCAGCTGCACACACACACACACACACACCCCTACTGTCTTGCCTCCTTGCCTTGTGATGATCACATTCACATTAGACTGCAGTAAATGCTCTCACTCCACAAAACCATTCGCACTCAAAGGAGGACCCCCACCTCCCCAACAACTCTCACCCCCCAACACCCCCACCCCCACCACAAACTGCAGACAGACTGCACTTCCATATAAGGTCTGTTTGTAGCCTGCTGCAATAGAGAGAAAGACAAAAAAAAACAATGGGAGAGGTGAGGTATGGTAAGACTGAAGAGTGTGGGGGGGGGGTACACTGTGTGGAAGAGGATGGGTGTACTGTGTGGAAGAGGAGAGGGTCTGATGACGAGAGATGGACATGTTAGGACAGGACACATCTGAGGATGGGACGAGTGAGAGAAGAATTAAATTCATTCATTTTAACAGACTAAATTAATCTGTGATTTTGGCTGAAATACAACTGTATTAACTTGGAGGGATCGAAGGGATGAACTTCTATTTTTCTTAATCCAAAAATATTTATTTCAGGACCAGAAGGAGATGATAGTAAATAAATCTGTTCTGTTTTAGTGGTTGTGGAAATCTAACAGAATTGTTCAGCTTTTTCAGCACGTTGTCAGACAGCTCCCAGACACACTCTCTCGGTCTGCCTGCTCCTGGTCTCTAGAAGACCACTAGAGGGGGATGTTTAACCTTCCTGCATCCCGCCCTCCTCCCCCTCTCACTCAGCAGCCTCATCTGTCTTTGTGTGATGTGGCTTTTCTTCTGTCATTTGAGTGAGATTCTTCTCCTCTCCTCCCTCAAGACTCCAGTCTAAGTGAAACCACACACCAGAGGGGTTTTTTCTACTATACCTTCGTTTTCTGTGTGCCATCGCTGTGTGTGTCTGGTCTTTTTTGACGTGAGGCGTCGTGAACATAAAAGACCAAA